TACTATTTAGCTGAATAACATTAATTTTCTAATCATTACATTAATAGCTTTATTAAAATATAATGAAATAAAAATTTTTGGTCTATTTGAACTTCAAATTTCAATTCTTTACGACCCTAGGGAACCATGGGGGTCCATGCACCTACTGCCCACATAAATAGATAAATGTGAAAAAAAAATTACATTTTTATTTGAGGTGAAAAAATTTTGCAAGTACCGTGCGACTAGGGCTTAAGGGAAATTTATTAATTTGTTTTATTGGCTCGGAAAACTAAAACAAATAAAGATAGCAGAGAATGAAATAAAATACTGAAAGCCTCAACTGGCAAATCCGAAAATATATCCAGTGTTTTATGTGTTCTCATTGGCTACTCTTTGTAAACGGATTGGACAAATATTTCTCAAACATACAAAGTAGGAAATGTTTATTTGTTGTGTCAATAGTTAATAATAACATAAACTCAGTGTGAAACTAAATATTGAGCAATATGGAGCAACATATAGCATGTAAATAGCAGAGACAGAATAGCAAATAAGTTATCAGTTTGGGAATAGCCCTTATCTCTTTCTGTTCACATACTCATTCAAATATTTAAACATTCTCGTATTAATTAATAACCTGTCGTTTTTATTTAAGTTTAGGACCGTTAATATGACAATGGTTAAGTTTTAACGAAGATTCACTTTTAATACGAGCTTACATATATAATCTCACATTAAATATATTTAAAAAACCAATTTGTCGCGATTTGACTGCATGTGTGACAGATTTGAGGAATGTACATTTTTTCCTATAAAAACACGAAGGAGAGTGCAATGTAAATTACTTTTTTTTACAGCTTAACAAAAAATAGTTAGATAAGCAAAAAAAATATTTATAAATATATATGTTAGGAGGGGGATTCGGTAGGCTATTTATCAATAAAATTATCAGTCCGCCGATAAAAGAACAACTATTCACTATTTTCTCACATAGCAACAAACCAAGAATGTGACGAGACGTTCCGATCAACTATCTAACCCCAGAGGGGAAAAAACTGCTTGGAAGATAAGCGGCTAAATACTTTAATATTCTTACTTGAAAAATGTGCTGAATTGCATTAGCAACGCGGACAGGAGAAAAAATATATATTCGGATTTCAGGTGATCAGCTCATCGGTTCGGCTCTTTTCGCCGTCCTTAGAATGTCGATATTCGACTCTAATGAGGAGAAGAATAAAAAAATACAATAAAATAAATCAAGACGGAGAGGGGAAAGGAAATAGGACGATTCATAAAAAGGGAGAAACGGTCAGAAATATAAGGTGCACTTTCGTGAACAATAATATGAACGGAACATTTGCATCTTTTGTAGCTAAAAGTCGTGCAAAAAGGCAAATAAATATGTCAAGAAACCAGATTTGAGCAGATCGCTGCCAAGACTTTGTCGGTTCCTCTCTTTTGCAGTGGCCAAACCGCCTTGAGATATTTCCAACAAAAACACTGCACCCGCTCAACCAGACAGCACTCAGAAGATTACTATTTTTTTTTCTCCAAGTCCACTGCCATTCTGTGATAAAAGAGGAAATGTCATTTTAATAATCAGAACAATTTAATAAAAAAATATACATACCGAACAAGTTGTATTTGATTAAATTGTTGATGCATCCAAACAAAATGCTTTATAAATTATTATCTCTGATCATTGTTTATATAAACTATGATGACTTTTCTATTTTATATGCTCTTATTTTTCTATTTTCAGCGACACCACATCAGATATTTACCTGTGAAAACTAGTTTTTTCCCTGCATAAGGAATTTAAACCGTATCGTAACCACCATTTATGAAAAAAACTTAAGTAGAAATTTATGACGACATGAAATTGTATATGATACAAAACAATAACTTTGAAGTTAACTGGGTGAACGCGACAGCGTTGAACTTTCATCTTACATAAACTATTAATCGGTGTCGTTGATAGAATAAAAAGCGAGTTTTATTTTAAATAATTATATATTTTCAATTGGCTTTAATTATGGCGAGTTGCCATTGGCGTACCGGTGAAGAGAAATAGGTCCTTATAAAAACAAAAGCAAAAACCCCAAGGCCAGAATCTGAGGCAAAAATGTAAAGAACGTAAAAGATCAAAATATTTTTTTTTTAAGTTGATCAATAATTTATTATAGCTAGTTGGTTTTTATGAACAATTAACAATATTGTACCTACTGCTAATTAGACTAGCTCATGTAATTTATATTTGATTCGACAATAAAATCAGAATATTTACACAAGCGATTTCTTTACCAAAATAATAGGAGGTTGTAAAATGAAATATCATACCAATTAAAACTTGTTTCATAACAATGCAAAAATAAATTATTTTACCTTCCAAGGAAGTAAGCATACCAGCACGCCCTCTGTGAAGGGTCAAGGATGACACATGTTACGGCGACGTCACGAGTTGTTGAAGGCGATGAGTAAAAAATATCGATAAATGAAAAATATCGAAACAAAAAATTTGATCCCCCTCTAGTAATGACCTAATTAATTTGATTGTTATCGGATAAGTATGGGAATGTTTGAAGTTTTTTTGAATTTTAAATTCATGTTTTTGTCTAATTTGTTTGAAGAATCCCTACCGTTTTAGCACACTAACATTATTTGGTGGTTTGGTGAAATGGCATCAGTGTCATTAGTGATCACTTTCGGATGTGAACGACTGTCTTCCTAGGAGGAACAATCTTCGACTACCGTAAAAATACTAATTTAACACTAATAAGTATGTATAAAGATTCAAACAATTTCCTCCATTCATTTTACACCCTAGGGGCAAAACTAGCTAAATGAAAAAATTCAACTGTCAGGATTGCGATTTTAAAATTCAAACCTTTAATTTTTGACAGTAAAATTCAGTTTTTGTACTAACTTTTTTTTGGTCACATTTCATTAAATCGAACGTAGTTGTTCTAGTAAAAACTTTTTTTAATTAAGTGGAATATGAAATTATCTAATTTTGCCAAAATTTGACCCAGTTTTGTCCCGATGGTACAGGTTTCATTATATTTGAAACCTTAAGATGTTGTATTCAGGTTTATGTTCGAATTTTTTACCTTTTGGTAAAAAAATGGTTTCAAAGTTCAAGGATTTATTCCACGAAAGGTTGACAAGGAACTGAGGTCTGCCCTCCAAATTTGCCTTATCCCTGGTCTTTTTTTATATACAGGGTGTCTCATTAATAAACGCCAATACAGGAGATTATCCTACATGTCAAATTGGACTAAAAAGCATCTAGTGTCAAAGCCAATTTGCCAATTTTTGTACGAAACTTGTTAAAGCTTTTATTCAATGTGATTTTGCATTTTATTTGTTTAAGATAACAATAAAAACCCAATTGAATTTCATAGAGCTTTCAATGCTCTTTTCATTGGTATAAACAAATTTACAGTAGGTTTAAAATTTTATGAGAAAAGCGTACTTTATGACATAAAGTTGTGGAAGATAGAAGGAATCTGAAAAGTAATTACTCGAATACAATTGAGAAATCAGACTTTGGACAATTGAGACTTTTTAATCCAATTTGTCGTGTAGTACCTCCTGAAGTACTTATGCTTCTGGGACACTGAAAAAGGGACAAAACGTTCCGAAACGTCGTGTAGGTAAAGGGCATAAAAGTGAGAAAAGAATTCATTTTTTTTCTTTACTAACTTTACTTAAGGTTTGGATGTAAAAGAACCAGTCATTTACTCGTTAAAGTTTATCTTCTATGTAATTTTATATTTTATTACGATAACCACCTGAAGTATTGACTTTTTTTTCACGGGACACCAAGAATATTTTACTTAAACTTTAGAGAAGAACTTCGGAAACTCGTTAAAGTTTATTTTCTATGTGATTTGATATTTTATTTCCTTAAGGTTAAAAAGAAATGAATCCTAAAGGAAATCAAATGCCAAATTACAAAGAAGATAAATACTCAATTAATTATTAGCTATAAATAATTAGAAGAATAATTACTTTGGTATTCGATTTCTTTTAGATTACAAAAAAATTAATCCCGCAGGGTTTTTAATGCACGTTCCATTGGTGAGAGATTGAGAATTCAGACATTTTAGACCAATTTGACTTGTAATAACCTCCTGGACCACTGATGAACTGGATACAATGTTCGTATATCGAGATTTTTACGAAAAATCACCTTAATTTTGGTTCACTGAAAAAGGAACAAATTGTTCCGAAACATCGTGTATGTCAAGAATAAAACAAAACAAAACATCTAGTTATTTCTTTGCTGAAAATACCCCACCTTGCACTATCGCTAATGCTTGGAAGTATTAGGACCAGTCATTTAAGCGATTCAAGTCTTTTTGAAGAAGAAAATAATCATCAACACAATCATTGAATGTCGCTTGGCAAGAGTTTTCACTATCGGTAAAATTTCGATACTTTGTCCGCATCCCTAGGTTTAATTTGATGTTTTGATGCAGGCGGTTGTTGTCCTCCGATTGACGGTTCTTCGGTTACAGTAATAAACTTTAAGATGGATTATTGACACGGCCTCGTTGCTCCACGACTGTCTAAGTTTTCTGTTAGCATACTCTGTTGATTTAAGAAGAAACATAATGTTAAGAAGCGCATTTACAGAGAGAGAAAAAAATTACAAGCGTGACTACATTGTTGCCTCATTATTTGATTAAAAACGCGATATAAAACCAGATTCGGCAAGATAAAAATAAAGAATAATTTGAAAAGTCGCAAGAGACGAGAATAAACAAAAGGAAGCCTGAGAAGGGGGGCTGGAGGTGGGAAAAGTTGATAATGCGAAAGATTTGCAGCGAGAGTGAGAGGGTGTGAGAGGAAAGTGAATGATTGCAGGGAAGGGGAAAGGAAAGAAAGGGGGTGAAACGTAAACAAATCAAGGCATGAACGAAGCCAGCTGATCCCGGTGGTGGTGGATGGTCGAGAGGGGGGCTCCAATTTACTGGAGGGAGAAGGGCACCTTTATAAAGGACCAGCTCCCCCCACGTCCACCACTAGTTGAGACCCGCCTGTCCGTCAGACACGTTAAGTTCGGGCCCAAGTCATTCCTCCTACTTTAGACTACGCGAACATTTACCTTTATCGTTAATTTTATTTTTTATTTTGTAACCGTCTCGAATTTCCTCAAGTTCCTCCAAGTTCTTAAAGCCACACCGACTAGCCGACCTAAAAAAATGGATTTACTTTGCACCGAACGTTCGGGTGAGTGTGCTGCGTATCCCGATCCGCGACTCCTGGGGGACCCGAGGGTGCTCCAGAACCTACTCAAGACTGAAGAGACGTACACGTCGAATAGTTCCTATTTCCAATGCGTTCAGAAAGAGATCACACCGCAGATGAGGAAGATCGTCGCCGAATGGATGCTCGAGGTAAGCCGACGTGACAGATTTTTAAAACGACCCCCCTTTCGTAATTTGAGGTGAAAACTTTCCCACGGTTGAAATTGTTTTTGTTTGAGTCACTCCGCTTCGGAAGGATTATAAATTTCTTTTATCAACACAGCTTAATCTTAATTTTATCGCGGTTATTTATCAACAATTTGAAAAACCGTAGTCAAAACAGTGGTGTGCTTAATTTTTCAATCGACCGAAATTAATCCTCTAATTGAATTGGTTTTAGGTCTGCGAGCAGCAGAGGTGCCAGGAGGGTGTTTTCCCCTTGGCGATGAATTACATGGACAGGTTTCTGTCCCAATCGCCCCTGTCGAAAAGTCTTCTTCAGACCGTAGGAGCCGTCTGCCTCCTTTTAGCTAGTAAACTCCGCGAACCACGTCCTTTAACGGCGAAAATCCTCGTCTACTTCACCGACTTCAGCACCAGGCTCGATCAGTTTTCGGTAAGTGCGATTTTTCTGTACAAGTTCCATTATTTCCAGGCGAAGAACGTGTCGGAGACGTAGGGGACCACGTCAGCTGTTTCCTGACTTACCGATCTATTTACACTTTACACAGGGGGGAGGGATTTCGCGAAAACCGATAATAAAAAAAGATTCTCGTGACGTGTTTCCCCAGAGGTAAATAAACTCCGTTATCTCGTAGAAAAGTTGATAATGTCAAAGGCCCCGCAAACGGATTCGGATTTTTTCGCGAACGTCATCTGTATAAATCAATCTGCTTTATGTTACATGATTTATAAATTTGGGTTATGCGGAAGGTGTACCGGCTGTTTTTCGAGCATGACCACCGCTCGTTTCATGTTACCGGTGTTTCCACTGTTTTTTTTATAGTGGTTTCCGGCGTCTTTAATCGGTCTGTCGTGTTCCGCTCCGGCGGCTCCACAACGTAAATAACGGCAGGTTGCGTACCGGCCGCGTTTTGTGCATTCCTCCCCATCTCGGAATGGACGGTATCGTGTAAATATTACGATATCAATAACACATCAAAGTCGAAAAACCGAGGGTGGCCTCTCGGACTGGGAATATCTTCTTTTTTTTTCACCTGAAACCCTGGAAGGGCTGACCCCCGTTGTGAGGGCGACCACATTCCACCCCTCAGGTGTCCATTAATTTAAGTAAATTGGAAAGAGTCAGGTAGTTTAGGGGGAAAAGGACCCTTTTCCATACTCGCTCCTTAAAGGTTTTAGGGGTTTTTACAAAGTACGATCGGATACGATTTTTCTCCGAGGTTAGTTTTTCAATTTTGATTCCTTCCCGTACAAAAACATCGCAATTCTACCGAAACAAGTTTCAGTTTTCATTTAGATCACAGATTGATTATAAGTTTATAACAAACTCCATTCGCAGTTTAAACATACTTCATACGAAAGTAATAATTTAAAGTTAAGTTTCGTAATTTTCAAATTGGTTTTCTTTCAACTTTGTTCCTGTAAGAATAGCTGAAAAGTTAACTTTTCCGTAAAAAACCCTCAGCAATCGTCTTGAGAGCTTTAAGAGCTATTTTCGGGGAATAAGTTTTATAAGTTTAAGTTCAATCCTGGTATTGTTAAAGTCGAAATGAGAGCGCAAATCTTTAGCACGTGCTACGACTAACCGCAATCAGCGACCATCCAAATGCGTTGTTTCCGCATTTCGGTCGAGTAATTGCTTAACCGGGGGGGTTGATTAATCGTGACAATATTCACAATCAGCACTTTAAACCCGTAAAACTTACTTTTCGCCTGCTGTTTTATTTAAAAAAAAAGACCGTCTCTGCTCAATTTTTCAATTTTCTCCTCGCAGGCGATCCTTTTCGTGTTTGGGTTAAATTTTTTTCTTTTTTCCGAGTAGCGTGTTTTTAATTAGGATTTCTGTGTACAGGACTGTGTTGAGCGTATTTTTGACCTATGCTGTGAAGTTCTAAGTTCTGTAAAGTTAATCAGCAGTCAGAAGGAGGAAAGTTCGTTGAGGACGAATCTATCCAGCGTGGGCGAGCTTCCTTTGCGGTTTGTCTAATCAAAGGAAAAAGGGTGTGAAATTTTCGATAAAAAAAAACCTCGCCGGACGATTTCTTTTTCATTCTATTTTACTTTTTTTTGTTTTTGTTGTATTGAGTTTTTTGTGTTTGATGGAGGAGTAAAATGGCGGATAGACGCCCCTTCTCTTTTCTTGTACAACCCCCACCAATTTCAAGTCGTTCGTCGGAACCTTCGTACAAAATGTGAAGAGTCAAGGGCGAATTAGCAAGGCCGACGGAATTCTCGCCCGTGCCCGGGAAGAGTGGTATGCCCTCCGGGGGTAACCCACCGTGAGAATGTACCCCAGGGGTCCCGACGGCTGATTTATTCGGAACGTTTTTATCAGACGACGTGATTAACTGCGTACTGAAGTTGTTAAGGAGATACCACTTCTTTGCCGGGCACTGTCGATCATTATGATGTTACTTCATAGCAGTATCGCACATTTGACCGGCCGAGAATGTACAACTTAATCGCAGGATCACACATTTGACTACTTAAAAATATACCATTTCTTCGCCGAAACGTATTTTTGACAACTCAAGAAGACTAATTCACAATATAACATTTTCGACGTCTCAAAAAATTAGTTGGTCCCAATTCCTCATATTTGACTTTCGAGATCCTTTACTTTTCTATACTTGAATATTAGAAACGTGGCCCTAACAACTCACATTTGTCAATTACGATTTATTCGCAGGATCTCACTTTTTACGATGTAAAAAAACTGCTGTTAACAACGATGAAAAAAAAAACTTTTTTAAAATATCGCACTTTTGACAATTAAAAAGTGACCGCTTATTCCCTGAATCATACTTTTGAAGGCACTTGACTTACTTTTCGGAACATCCGTTTTTGTCTACTTGAAAATTGCGATTTATTTGCAGAATCAGAATTAGAAAATTGAACCTTATTTCTCGGAATATCCTTTTGAAGGACTAATAAGTTACTTTTCGCAGTATTTAGTTTTGTCTACTTGAAAATCAGGATTTATTCTAAGGTTCATACTTGACGATATAAGAAGTTATTTCGTTGTAATATGGCACTTTTGACTGATTTAAAACATGCTACTTATTCACAGGACCATATTTTTGACAAAAAGTAACTTTTTTGCAATATCAACTTAGGATTTTTTCAGAGTTACGATTTAATCGCAGGATCACGCATTTGCCTTTATAAGAAGTTAATTGTATAGGGTATAGCACCTTTGACAATTAGAAAATTGACAGCTTATTTCGTGGAACGTGTATGTTTGAAGTTTCATTATGTTACTTTTCGCAAAACCACTTTCGCCTTCTTGAGAAACACGATTTATTCGCAAGATCCACACTTTTTATGATATAAGAAGTTATTTCGTTGCAATATCGTACTTCATACGATGAAAATGTTATTTTCCTAAAATAAATTTTGACTATTTGAAAATTTATCACTTATTCACAAGATCATATTTTTAACGATTCAAAGTCAGTTTTTTTTTGGAACATCTCACTTTAGATTTCTCCAGAATTACTATTTTTTTAGCAGGATCGTGCAGTTAGTTGCCTTTATAAGAAGTTAATTGTATACGTATATATCGCACTTTAGACTATTTGAAAAGATAGTTACAATTATTCGCCGGATCACACTTTTAGCAATATAAAAAGTTAACGAGCTAACAATATCACACTTTTGACTATTTCAAAATTGACAGCTTATTCTCTGGAATGTACTTTTGAAGGCACAATGGCACAAACTTTTTGCAGTATTCGTTTTTGTCTACTTGATAATTTATTTAAAATATCGCACTTTTGAGTTGACAAAATGTACCGCTTATTCGCAGAAATATTATTTTGGCTGTTTGAAAATATACCGCATATTCACAGGATAATATTTCTTTGCGATTCAAAAAGTGACTTTTATCGCACATTTGCCTTTATAAGAAGTTCAAGTTACAATTATACGGACAATCACGCCTTTGTCGATATAAAAAGTTAAAGTAAAAGTTAAGTTTGTTTAATGTCGCACTTTTGACTGGTTGAAAATTACACTGACTCCTTTTTGCAATCACACTTTGGATTTTTTCACAGTTACGATTTATTCGCAGAATCACATTTGCCGTTTTTACTAAGTTACTTTTTTTCGGTATCGCACTTTTGACTATGTCTTTTAAAAAAGACAGTTTTAAATTACACTCAGGACTTACAATGTACTTTTGATGAAATAAGAAGTTATTTGTTAACATAACCGCAATTTTGACAATTAGAAAATTGACCTCTTATTTCATGGAAAAAACTTTTGAAGGCCCAATAAGTTATTTTTCGCAATATTCAGTTTTGTCGACTTGGGAATTACGATTTGTTAGAAGGTTCGCACTTTTGACGATATAAGAAGTTACTTCGATACAATATCGCACTTTAGACGATCAAAAAGTTTTTTGTTCGTTAAATCTAACTTTTATTGCTTTAAAATATGTTGCTTATTCGTAGTATCACGCACTTGACGATATAAAAAGTTACCTCGTTTAAATCGCATTTTTGACGATTAGAATTTTTTTGTACCTTAGTAACTTTTGACGGCATGAAAATATCATTTTTGACTATTGAAAAATACTTTCTTTTTACAATATCACATCGGATTTCTTCAAAGTTATAAGAAGTTAATAGAATAGATGGACTATTTGAAAAGATAGTTAGAACTTATACGCAGGATCACACTTTTGACGATATAAGATATAAAAAGTTACTTATTTAACTTATTCACTTTTAACAATTAGAAAATTGATCACTTATTCCCTAAAACATATGTTTGAAATTTCATTAAGTTACTTTTGGCAATAACCACATTCGCCTACTTGAGAATCACGATTTATTCGCGAGATCACACTTTTGACGATATGAGAAGTTATTTCGTTGAAATGTCGCACTTTTGACGATCGAGAAGTTTTTTCGTAATATATAACACTTGATTGCTTTAAAACTTGCTACTTATTCAAAGGATCATACCTTTGACAATAGAAAAAGTAAATTTTTTTACAGTATTACACTTGGATTTCTTCAGAGTTACGATTTAATAGCAGGATCACACATTTGCAGATATAAGAAGTTACTTTTTTCTGTATCGTACTTTTGACGATTTGAAAGTGTAACTACAACTTATTTGCACCACACTCTTTACGGTTTAAAAAGGAACTTGTTCATAAGATCTCACATTTGACGGCATTTATGCTAAATCATTTTGAACCAGTTTTCTTTCGCATCATCACGTGTTCTCTGTTCTAATGAGTCCTGTGCGATAAAAACAATTCTTATAATTTTTCCCGAACCCACACTGACTAGGTGGGAAATCAGACGATTCTTCGCAATTTATCAACGAGCGATTATAATATTTCACGTTCACCTTTTTCCCAACAAAGATCATTGACCTCTCGATCAACTCTCGATCTCGTTTTGCTAGGTTCCAATTGTGTTTCGTGTTTATCGAGTGGGATTTACTTTTAAAAGGCACCGAAGAGAATTTTAACCTTGTTTTCTTTTCAAAGGTTACGGTAAGAGTTAGAAAAAACTTGATTGAACGAGTTTTTAACATAATAAAATCACTATTTGAAAATGGAGGCTTAAGTTAGAACCTGGATAGGCTGGGTTGGTTGATTGTTCTAATTTATCAACGATTTTTGCAGGTATCATAATTAAGATAATAGTTGAAAACTTGCAGTTAACGAAAATAAATCCTAGTACGGATTCTTTTTTTATGTATTTGAGCACTTCTTAGTTTATTGCGCAAATTATTGTTAATATTTATTGGTTGAAGTGACTTTAGGTGTTCATTCCCTAATGTTTTAGTCTAACCCAGGTAAGTTCATAGATAAACGATCCTAACCAGCGTGAAACCTTGTAGGTAAAACCAAATTTTCAGAATTTTTAATTCGTTTAAATATTCTTTCCAGTTTCTCATTATATTAGAGAATTGCGTAAAAGTGTTGGTACAGAATAAAGGCCTGTTTGGTTCAAACGTCACGGAGCAAATCCAAATTGGATGAGTACCGCTCGGTTTTGATAATGACCATCTATTAAGAGAAGTACTAATAACAGTGTAATAAGTATAGTCCTGAGACCGAAATCTCAGTGAGGCGGTTTACGCTTTTCTGGTGGCTTAAGCGGACACGAGCTTTCATCCCGATCACGCGTAACCTATCGGGGGCGCGCGCGCGCTCGTACCGTCCTGCGACTGTTGCCATGCGACACGTATTTGCCAAAAGCAAGCCACAAGGTCTTGAAAGCCTTGAGCCGGGGCGTTGATCTGGTGCCCCCCTCCTCGTCATTTGAGAAATACCTTTTAACATTATAACCGGCCAATTATTAAATCATCGGGTGCATATGTGCATGTGTTTCATGTCTTGATCCGTAATGGTTTCTTTTCGCAGCCGTGGGAGCTGGTCATCGCCGACAGATTGAAATGGGACCTAGCAGCAGTTACCGCACAGGACTTCATTGCTCACATCCTCTACAGGATTCCACTCGACAGGACGACTGAAGAGATGACAAGGAGGCACGCCAGTACCTTTATTAGCCTAGCAGCTTGCGGTAAATATATTTTCTTACATAAATCTTAATAAAATAGAAAACTTCAATAAATTACTTATTATTATTCAGAACACATGTCCTGGGGTTTCTACATGGATTTCTTGTTAAACCCAAAAACCTACTGGATTTTTGTGATTGAAGCCTTTCATGCACAGCATAATTTTGATCGTTAAATTTTTTATTTCCATGCATTTTCCTCAATCCAGAGGGCAATTCTTTAATCTATCTTAACAATTTGCTAAGTTTTTAAAAAACTCGTGTGTTGATTCTTTATGCTGACAATACGATTTTAGCATGAATTCCAGATTTTTGTTTAATAAACCTGTTTAAAACTATCTGTATACATGTAAATGAATGATCATATTGAGCTTTGTGCATTAGGCTACTTTCATCATACTGGTCACGTCATATGAAACCATTATACAAATATCCCCCCCCCCATGGGATGTCATCAACCCTTGTTTTATTGCATGTAGAAACACATAAATAGTTTTTTAGTCGAACCGGTCCTTTCGGTCGGAAAGTCGAACCCGTTGCGTAGACGTCGAACGGGCAGTAGGAGGGAGGACGTGCGGACCCCCTAGCCACCCAGTCACGACTGATGACCCACACCGGGTGAGAATTGTGGATCCTCGGCTCCCACTTCTCCAGCCCCCTCCACACATTTGTGAGTTTATGAATGAAAACCTGACTTCGAGTGGGGGCGAGGTCCTTATTCACATATTTCTCTTTCACGCGTATCTTTTCCCCCTGGCTTGCCCCCGTCCTGGTATCGCGAACGGGTTCAACATTTCCCTATTGCTTTCTAATTTCTTAAAATTAAAAAAAAAATAATAATAATACAAATCTTCCTATAATTTTCTAAGCACTTGAAAAACAAACGTCTTTTTTTTTATTAAAGCAATTTAATTAAAACAAATTTAACATATATTGGTTATGGTTTAAAAACCAAACCTCTTTTATAAACACTTCTGTTTGTAATTGTTAAACAATGTCTCGACTTGTAGTGACGATAACCCCTCGCCTTTTCATCAAAGACCCCGACTAATTAGTCGAGCTGTTAACGCCGTTTAGCGAGACGAGGTCCACGCTCGACGATTTTCGGTCATTGGCCAAATTTTTTGCCAAAGAAAAACATCGATCAAACCGAAAAAAAAAAATTGAACTATGCTGCTAACCAATTGCGAGAAACAATAACTAATTAATTTGACAAATGAAGGTAGAGTTCACTACTTCCTTCATTTGTCTGTTTTTGTCTTTTTTACTCATTTTTTTTTTCTTAATCCACACTATTTAAACAAAATAGTTGATTTAAGACATTGAATCATTTTTATTATTCGGGACGTGGCGACTGTTCGATAATTAGAATAACCTGTATGATTCGTCTCATATAATTATATCATATTAAGTTCTTGTCAAAAAGGCTTAAATTTTTAAGTTTGTACTGTGCCGACGGTTTTTTTTTTCTTCTTCTCTCCCCCCACTAATTGGGTAAAATGTTTGGTTTTTGTTAGAAAACATTTCCACGTGTGTTTATAAAAACATTACTTATTTACATTAAATATATTACAAAATATTAAATAAATACACATAAAAAATAAATAAGACAAATTAGTCTTAATAATATTCCATGTTCCAAATAAAAACAACATGAAAAGTTTTTATTTGTATAAAAAAATTTACAATTTTTTCATAAATATTGTTAAAGATTAAACATCATGGTCACAGAAACAGATGGAGTCTTTTTATATTTCTCTCTGTTTAATTTTAGCTTAACAAATATAAAAATAAAAGTAATTATTTATTAATTTATTAATAAAATTAAGTAAGGTAGGTTAACTAAAAATAATTTACCTCGGTGGCCGCATCGGTTGTGGAGTTGACACTCCTCTCATCATTGTAAGCACCCTGCATTTGAACTGGACTTACAAATAAAATTAATTTTTTTGGAAAACATGACAACCTGAGGGAGGCAATGACCTCTGCTGTTGCGAACCATCGTAAAAAAATAATAAGACCGCCATATTTAGATGATGTTTTGCATAATTTAATTAACTTGAATTTTCCATTGACAAAATCAAAAATCATGCCGTTGTATTGACATTTAAATAAATAAAATATATTCTGATTTGGAAAGGATTCTCAGACAGCCATGGATGTTTTTAAACTTAAAATTATGTTTTATATGAGTAAATAATAATAATAATCTTTGTGTATAGCTCGATAAATTTAAGCCATTGTCAAGTACGGTATACCCAATGAAGTATTTGTAAATCCCCCGACGAAACGTATTAATTTTACCGTTCCCTAGGTCAGTATAATTTTTCGTTTTGTGCCATGAATTAATTTATGGTTTTGAGATTACCCTAGGGTAACGGCCCGTTTCTAAAGGAGTCGTTCGGATCCTTTTCAATTTGAACGGGGCTTATTTTCGGGTGTAAAACGGGGCCCCCTTTTTACTCGACTCGCCGGTGGTTTTAACATTATAAATTTTTTCTCCTTCGGTACACATTCGTCCTAGACGGTTGGTTCCGTTACTCCCCTGTTCTACCGAGGTGACTTGAGCAGAGGGAAAAAAGCCCCTTTGAATGGAAAGGGTCCGTTCGGTGGTGAGCAAATAGTCGGTGGGCGCCTTCACCATCCCCTTTGATAAGCCAACCTTTCCCTTTCACACGGTCTTATCTAAAAGGGTTTCCTGTTCGACTGTAAATTAAGAGGAGGGGGGGTTTTTGATACAAAGGTGTCTCGGTTGGGAAATCACAAGGGGGTCTGCAACGACCGGTTTTTATTGAAATGATTTTTACACCCGACATCTGGACCATTTGCCAACTAGTCCCCTTTTTTACCCCTTTCAACATTTAAACATTGTAGACGTCTCGCCTAAGGGGAGACGGCAGGCTAGACGACTTCTTTTTCAACAATAGGACCCGTGGCGTGGGGGGATTAGTATTAACCTGTTATGCAAAAGCAAAATTGTTATCGGGATACGAGTCGGTTCAACTGACTCCGTTCTGTTTATAATCTATTAACCTATTGTCATCAACGGAAGAAAAAGGTAGGGTATAATGAGCGTCTGGCAGACAGGACAAAAGGGACTGGTGAAGAGGGGAAAAAAACTGGCAAACCTTTTTAAACGGTCACACGTAATCCGAACTTTTTGGGGTGTTGTGCGGTAGACAGGTGATGACGGTGACACCAAGGCGGTTTAATGACTCGGAATCACACCTTGGTAAAAACAGAATGCGATATTTTTCTATTTTCATGCCACCTTATGTGCCATACTTTTACAAGCAGTTTGATTGTCTCAGACTCTTCACTCATTTGGTTTTTTGGTGTCCTTATTGCATGTTCCAGTAAAACGGCAATTTATACAAAGATTATTAAAGTATTCATTTAAGCAGCCGTAGTTTTTTACAACTGTGCTATTTTTCGCAATTTTCAACTGTCCTGTGTAAATTGTTCAAGAAGGTAGATTTTCGAATTTGTGACTAAATCAGCGAGAATAGACGGACCAACAAGCAAAACAATCACTTCAACGTGTTCACCACCACTAACTTTAAGTGAACTAAAGCAGGACATTCAAAAAAATGTACGAAGAAGCACTGTTAAACAGCTGTTACCATCTAGTGTTCTGAAATAATAGGACACTCGTATCATAAAAATTTTCGTCTTTATCACAATTTGCCTAACATACCTCTTATATTACCAAAACAATTTAAATTTTGCCTTTGTGATCAAATCTATTTACGTGTTAATCCTTCATTAACTATGGACGTCAACGAGTCTATTTCAGGAGTTCTGACAGGAAGCTTCCGTGACCCTTGGCGACGAGGGGGGTGGAATAAGGAAGAATTTAAAATACAAACACGAGGTGAACAAATGTACAGTCATGTAACATTCGTTATCTTAAAGACGGGCGGCACCGAGATTTTGCGATAGAAACATACCTACAAAACGGGAGAATCGTCCGGGTCGTTTACACCGCACCGCGGTCGTCCTTGGTGACTGTTTTCTTTCTTTTTAACAATATTTGACAAAAATTTGAAATGTATATGCGATGGTGGGTTTTTATTAGATTGGATTAGATTGTACAGAGGGAGTGAAATAGGGAGAGTCTTAACTCGGATTATACGAGACAATATTTCAACCCTTGTCTTCCTAACAACTATAACTATACTGTCACTTTTTTTAACCTTTAATTATTGATTTTCTCGAAGAAAAACACTGATAGGAACAAAATATTATAGTATGTATAAAACAAAACCAAAAGTTTGTTGCTAGGTCGTTTCTGATTATTGTGATGTTCGTATTCTAGCAGTTTTGGTATGTCACGATTATCTTGAGTAAACAGCAAATGATAGTAGGCCAAAATGATCTAAACTGCAGGTTCGTCACCCCGCAGACTTCGAAAAGAAATCTCGCAAATCATCAAGTCCGACGGCTTTGCCTTTCCACCATCCCCTAACGGACTAATGACCGTCTTGGCACCCCCTGAACGGATATTCGGCCGGGTGGCTTTCTCCAACCCCCGCCCATTGTATAATTGCACGTCCGCCACTTCCTACATCGCGGGACACGGGGTGGATTTACGTGGTAATTGTTTCCTCAGGTGTGCTCGCAGCCATTTCCCATCCCCCCCGATCGCGTAGATGCAATGTGGGTTTCGGTCCAATGGGCGTGAAATGTGAAGATTCCTCTTTTTTTTCTCTCTCCACGCTTTATTGATCCTGCCCCACATTTGCGCCATTTTGCTATTAGAAGAGTATAAAAAGTTCCCTTGGTGTTGTTTTACCTAATTTCTTTCACCTTTAAAGGTTGTTCTTTAGGAAGAAAATGCTGAGTTTTTCAAGGGAAATAAGGCTTGTAAATTCCTTTATCAAATTGTTCTTACAAAGTTGGATTTTTGTTCTCCTAAACTACCAAAAAACCTGCAAGAAGAATAAAAGACGTTTTGACGCAGTTTCTAGGTAGAAGTGTTATGGATCATCCCCTATGGTCTATCTTTTTTCTTCCCCCTGTCAAACTTGTATCGTTCTGGATTAACCTGGAAATTCGGTCGAGCCAGGAGAAAAAGAAGCCATTTCTGATATTTGTCTGTGTTTTTTAAAAAAACAAGATTCCCGATGTTTTCTCTATCTCCGGCTTTCACGCCCAATCGATATTTTTCAGCTCAAGTGCCATCCACGCCTTATCGTGAGCCATTCGGCGGCGAAAAGAGCGATAATCTTTCGATGTGGCGACAGACGTTCCAGGCATGGGTTTATGGGCCCGAAATATTGCTCCCGCATTGGGCCCCAGGTCCGGCTCCCAAGGTCCCATTGCGAGGGCAAAGCACTCCCGGGGAGAAAAGGGGCCTCAGCTGTGCGACCTTATTAAGCGCATCTTATCCTTTCTCTTATCAGCGAGCCCCCTTTGTTGTTTTTTTATATTGATAATTGATTTTTAGTTTGTCGGGAAGGAAAATCCGTTCGACGAAAGGAAAGCGGCCGGACCGGGCGGACCCCGTCAACACCAGTGCCTGAAAGCAATTTTTTCTACGACGATCCCCACCCATACTTATAAACCGCGATAGCTTATTTTTCTTTTTTTTTGTTCTGATTAAAAAGCGACCAATAATTTTACAATTAGATTATACACACTTCACCTCTTTTTCACCCTCAATACACACCCACCCTCAACAAAAGTACAGATTATAAATCTAAACAAAAACTGCCTGACAAGCTATAACCTAATATTTTGAGAATACATTATTTTAATTCAATACTGTACAAAGTTTAGTCATCAAATAGCTCACAGTACTCGCTTTGACCCGTTGTTCGTTCTTCTCACCCCTTCATCAGAACTTTTTTGTTTTGTTATTTCACGAGTTCTATTCTCGCTTAGTTTTTCTCTCCCTTAAAGTTTCTTCTATTAGAGAACATTGCGAGTCCCATGGATTCTGCACACGAAGAATTATAATTTTAAGTGAATTATTGTTGGAACTGTTTCCATCAAGTCTATCTCAAAGGTTGGTGCAAATCTGAACAATTTGCGTCTTATTTTATTGTGTAGCCTTAAATATTAGATTATGGATTCTTCAATTTTCGTTTTATTGTTTATTAGAATGTTGCAGTTGGTTGACATGGTGGATTTACCAATAAGGAAAAAATCGGGACAATGTTACTATGCCAGACTTTATTGGAATTATTGTAAAGAAAAGATAATGACTGAGGCAGTTTTGCCTTTCTTGTCTCTTCGACATCCCGCGATCAGCTGAAATTCCTATGTTTTGATCCTCTCGACGCGGCGATAAGAAATTTCCTACGAAAATAGTCGTTCAAAAGGAACCGACTCAGTATGTCAAAATAAAATAAGACCAGAATTTATGGAAATTTCGTATTGTGTACACGGCAGAGGGTAGGAGGGGGTCGGATTCCCACACTCCGGGATTCCTGGGGAACAGGTCTGGCCGAGGCCGGTCCTTTGGTAGGAGGAGAAAAAACGACCATACCTCACGTGTGTACCTAGGATATACCTCACAAGGAGGCGCCTTGTGTAGCGGTCGCTAACCAGGCTGTTTACCCGTCGCCTTGCCAACCAGCAGATACCATCTCCTCGTGACCGGCGCGGGTGAGGTTTACTTATTTTAATTTAAACCCCGCCTGCCTTGAAAACGGCCGCCCAATCGGAGCACCGCCGAAGGCAAGGTCGACCCCTATTTATTTTCACCGTGGGATCCTTGTTATTATCACCGTCGGTGCCATTCATCTCCCTAATGAATGTTATAAAGGGGTTGTCCCTCGGGGGTTGAGAAAAGTGAGCTCCTTGAAGGTTTCCTTCAGATCGGAATGGATTTTTTTTTATTCGTTTTGTTCTACCCTTGAAAGAACATTGCGTCTTTTAACTTGATCCCTTTGCTCGTTCATTCGAGTAAAGGTCTGAACGAAACCAAGTGTTCGGTAAACTTAGTTCTCTTGATATGCCGAAGGGTTGGACTTGTAACAAACGGAAAGATGGCGAAATGTCTTATCCAAGTCTACGGGGTGATGAACCTGATGATAGGATACACAATATAATATGAAAGAAAACGACCAAACTATAAACAGAAGAGTCCTCCATTTTTGGTCAAAACATGACATTTTTCTTAATGCTAAAGCTGAAAAGGCTGTATTTCACCACTTTTTAACGATTTTTTTTTTCTTTTGTGTTTCAGATTTTAAATTTAGTATGTACACGCCGAGCATAATCGCCGGTGCTAGCATCGCGGCGGCTCTGAACGGCCTCCATTGGAATGCGAGGGGTGGTTGGACCTTAAACCAACTCATGGACACCCTCACCGTGATGCTCTCCGTCGAAAAGGTACATATCCGAACTGTTTTCATTTTTGTCTTCTCAAGGTTTTTAATCTAGCCGCTGAATACGTGGGGGGAACAATAAAGCCCATTGTCATAAGCAGTTGCCACATTATCCACACGGGTTTCTCTTTCATTTTTTAATTTTTGTCGATTTTTTTTATAAGGGCCAATATGGTCATTGCTCGTAATTGCCGACCTCGGTTGTTTTCACCGATGATGACATGAGACCCTTTCTTATTTCAATCGTGGGAACTCGCACCGGAAATCGTGAATAGGTGGATGAAGGCCCGAAGATCCGGGCGGCTCATATTCATTTCAACCCCTTTCGGATCTTCGTGGTGGTGTAAATTCAGGGAAAGGCCGGTGGTACCTGTGACAGTACAAGGCTCGGCTGAGAGTAAAAGGGTTCTTGCGACAAAGGCTCGTTTCTCGCCAAGGACGGCGTCTCGACTCTGGGGTGCTTCTGAACTTGGCGGAAGGTTCGCTTTTTTTTCGCCTTCCCGACACTGTAATATATTTATACGGGCCAGATTCGTTTCCCATTGTTAACGAGTCACAAGTTAACCAGGTCGGGTTTTGCCTTATTGAAAAGTCGAATGTTTATCGACTTCCTTTCGCCCTTGAAGTCACAAAGGATCGCACTAGTCGATAAGGTCACAAAAATCAATTAGGTATTGGCACTCGGTTGTCAAGAGATATGATCGTATTTTTTTTTTTCAATAAATTTCAATTATTTCAAATTGTCTTAGTATAGAATCTGCACTGCACTACATCGATCCTTTACCAACAATGTCACCTTGTCTTCTTGGCCATGTGATCCCGTGATATTTCATTCTTCTAAAACTGCTAAAAAAATATCAACATTCATCTTTAGATCCGCCTGAAGTTTGTGTTCTTGGTGCATTATCAAATTATTAGTTGGTGATAATTTCGCAATTCAGTGGACCAACAAAAGGTACCAGCTGTCAGATACATTATTGCTTGCTAGTTTGGGCCACAGACCCCCCCCCCCAAACTAAAGAAGATGAGAAGCACCAAATAAATAAAGTCAATTCCAAAATGTCAACCCAGCACTGTATATTTAAATTTTGTTTTATTTCTTATTAAATTTTGACCTTGTTTCGTTTGTTGCAGGAGTACTTGTGCTCATGCCTTGCACAGTTGGAAGAAATGCTGACTGACACATTGACTGAAGCCGCTGCACATATGCAAAAAGCTGAATTGACCAAAGCCGGAACTCCTACTGATGTTCAAGATATAGATTTCTAGCTCTCGGCAAAACGGACCAACGAGGCAACCACCAGCAAGGGCGATGGTGGCACCGTTTCCAAGCCTAACGCACAACGACGAATCTGACAAAAATGAGAAACCCATTTGAATTTTGCAGGCGGGTTCCAAACCCGATTTTTTTTTTTTTTTTTTCGAGTTCCTTTTAAATCGATTTAGTTTGGTAGGTTTTGGAATGATGCTACTTCCTTTTCCCTGGAATCCCCATTTGTTGTGATAATTTTCTTTTTCTGTTGAGTATTTTTTTACCTTTCGAATAACCCGCATTACAGTAATTCAGTATAATAATAATTTTTTAAAAAATTGGGGAAGGCAATAATATACGCTTGATTTCCCGTTGTAGAGTTTAAGTCACGCGAACAAAAACTTTTTGTAGATATGTATCTTTGATTATAACAAAAAAAACATTAAACCTTCGATTCTGAGTTGCCATTCGATGTGCAAGTCCTTAAAAATAAAAAGAATTAATAGTCATTTTAAGTCATTTTTTCGCTTTTAGTTATAAGTATAGAGAAGGGAGAGTTTTTGAGACCTTCACTAAAGTGGTCCTACCAATTTATTATTATTTTTTATGAGTAAGAAATAAAAATTGATTATTGTTCCTGTGGTCTTGTCGAAACTTAGTTTGACTGAAAGTGCGTCATTCAGTCATCATGTCTCCCCTCGCAAATAACGATTTTTTTTTTAAACAAAAGTATTAGTAAGGAAATAGTTAGAAAAAAAGAGTATTTTCTATTAAATTGACTCTGATGATGAGGGGTTCAAGCACCCGGTTATGTACCTTTATCACATTATTTTCTATATATATTTTTTTTATGTTTATTTGAACGTGTTTTGAAATGAGCTTGTATCTTGTTTCTAAAAGAAAATATTTATACTTGACTTGTTTTACTACAATTTAAAAAAAAGAAAGTAGTTGTTTTGTATTTAGCTTGAATTTATATTAGATTTTATTTGGAGACGTTAAAGTGTACAAAGAAAAGAGCTAAGGGCAAATTATTAAGTAAGTTGTATGCCATTTCAGTTGTGTGTCTTAGACTGTAAAAGAAACTAGGAAGTTCTTAAAGACATAAGTGCCTACATAAAAGCCACACAACTGTCGATTTACCAAGATTTTTGATTATATACAAAATAATCACTAAAATTAGTAATTACTTAGCCCCGCTTAAATATATATTATGTTTTATTGTATATAAATTGATCATAGTGATTTAAAAACCTATATAAAAACTATTAAAAAAGTTTTGTAAAAATTACAAAAAAACTATATTAAAAAATGTTACATCGAATCGTAGTTTGTAGCATGATTTCTTTTTATGTACAAACTTTCGTTTGTTTTATTTTATTTTTTTTATTATTTTTATTTTTATTATAACGAAGATTTAAAAAAAAAAAGCTATTTATGAGAAATTTATCTTTCAAAGGCCGTCGAAAATTGTCCATACTACACGTTTGAAGCATATTTTTCAAATGGAAGGCAACGGTACTTAAATCCCCCAAATTTAATTAGTTAACCTGCAATTTCGGGGAGAGGAATTCTGATCGAAAGATTGGAATTTTTTCCAGTTTGCTCAAAGAGTAAATACTTTTTTTTTCCTTAAACCTTAAAATAATTTCTATTAATATATACGAAGCAGAAATTCACGGCGATTTTCGATCGGCTCTTAAGTTAACCAAATGATTTGTAAAATAATTACCTCAATTGGCCTTAGGAAGGACAATACAAGAAAATATATTATGTAATCTTTATGTTAAACAATAGTCTGATTTTATATAAGAGCGCTTTTAGTTAGTTTCTTTTTCAAGTACCTTGATTATTCCTGTTTTGTAAAAAAAATAAAAACGTTTTCTTTTCAATATTGTTTTTAAATTAAGCCCTTTTGAACCAAAATCCTTTTTCTTTTTTTGTATTTTACAAAAATAAAACTTTTCTGGAAAATCTTATAGGTGGCGTGAAATTTGATTTGCCGTTGCATACATCCAGAGGATGGCTACAAATGTGCAAACAGAATGAAAACCTGTCCTGAGAAATAGCCATCATTAAATCCCAGAAAGGATGAAAATAAACAAGATAGCTACAAAAATGAAATTAAAATGACAGTTCTTTCCATATAAAAACAACAAGGGTTGTTTGAGCAAATAAAAACCCTGAAACTAATAGAGCAGCTTTTGTGCTATACAAATAGAATGTGGAATACCCCAGGTGTCAAAGCCACTAAATTTTGAGCTAGCAAAGCCTCTAGGCCCCACACAATTTTTCAGAGATCCGTGCATCCATGAGATTCCACATCCAAAAATCTACCTCACCCCAGCAGGCAAGAGTTCAAATAGTCCTTCATACTGGCCATTGCTAATTCAAATATCTCAAAAAATGGGAAAACCGAGACAGAAACCTGCCGACTCTGTTATGAAAAAGCTGTCATTGAAACAAGTCCCGAGTGCAGAGCATTAGCCTGGAAACAGTACATCCTACTTGGAAAGGTGATACAAATACCTAGGGTTATTAGCAGAGAGGAACCGTGGAAAGTTCTCAACTACCTTCAGGAAGTATGGAAATAAAGAAGGGTCAATTCCACAATACATCTTTTGCGTCACAGTGGAAGAAATGTAGACCAAGGCCCTAATCACAGTCTCTGAGCAACTGAGATACTTGGCGACCAAGATACTGTCAGGTGTATTTAGGTAACATCACTCACACAGAGGTACTTCAGAGCCACATGGATACAAGGGGACCACCTGACATGTCAGTCTCCAAGTCTTCCACTTCCAGTCTCTCAGTTGCATTCATACCATTGGCAATGGAAGGAGCGGAATCAGATCTCAGCGACCCTGAATTTGGTCCCAACCCCCTCAAAAATGAGTTTCTTCGATGGAAGAACACCAGGGCTCATAAAGTACAATAAGCTGTACACACACACACAAATTTAAAATTTGTGACAAAGTGGACGGACATATTTCCAGTATTATACAGTTAAAATTGAAAGGTATTCAAAGAAGGATGTACAGAGAAAGCATGGCACAAAGGATATAAATAACAATCATTTTTCTTGTTCTGTACCAGCGGTACATCACTATTAGAAACACTAGATATTGTATACATATATATATACTATTTTCCACAACAAAGAGAATTGGATACATACTTCACCAACAGCCAATTTAAATTAATTAATTTTAAAAATCGCAAGCAACTTGGTAGCTACTCAAAATGTGTCGTTGTAGGTATTGGGCTACTTGAATCGTACAGCCACCCAGTCTCCTGGTTTTCAGGCAGTTGGTGACCAGATCTGTGTATCCGCTGCATGTGAGCAGGCTGTAAAATCATCAGCGACCGGGGCTGGGGTTTAATTTATGTATTAATTGATCATTTTTTAGGACTAGTGTAGTATATATATATATATATAGCTATTTTAATAATATATTTTATGTTGTAAAATGATATTTATCCAAGAATATTCGATTCATTGAAAATATTCAAAATGTTCATTTTCAACATGGTGGGTATCTAGCATATAATTACAGACCATCATCAAATAACATGTTTTTTGAAGCTTAGTTACTTCCACCTTTCACATCTTCCACCCTTCCGATCTTCATTCGGCCACTCTCAAGATCCAAACAGACCTAAACTCCATCAACGAATGGGCCCATAAAAATTCCCTAGTCCTCAATCCGTCCAAATCCACAGCCATAATTATCAGGTCCAGGCAACTCCTCAATTCCCTCCCCAGCATCCCACCTTTCATGCTAAATAACCATCCCATCCCCTTCTGCTCTTCGGTTAAAAACCTAGGAGTAGTCTTTGACCAAAACTTTCCTGGCATTCTTACATTTCCCAAATTTCCCATTGCCTCCCTCAGCCTGTTTCGTCGGTCCTGGCTTCTCTTACCTTTCTCCACCCTCAAACTCCTTGCATCTTCCCTTATACTTCCCTTCTTCGATTATAGCTGTGTGGCATACGGTGGTCTCTCGGAGGGGGAGAACGCGCGATTGAAGCGTACTATGAATTGTTGCATAAGATTTGTTTATGGCACCCCACGGGGATCCCGGGTGTCGCGGTTTATTCCCAACTTTCCTGGCTATTCCCATCCTTCCGTGCACAGTATTTCCTAGTTGCTTTCTTTTCCAGTCCATCCACATCGTCGTTCTCCTTACATCATCCAATCCCTCCAATTCAACTTCTCACATCTCACTCGTAAGACCTGCTCATCCCCAATCGACCTTATTCTTCCGCAACATACAACCCATACCTTCGAAAGATCCTTTCTGATCCGAGCCCCTAAACTCTGGAACTCCCTTCTTCCCCTTTCTATCCGTCACGCTGCCTCCTTTTCCTCCCTTAAATCCCAGCTGTATAATCACCTCCTCTCCCTCCAAGCAGAGGCCTCAAGTTAACATTTCTTATTTTTGTTTAATATTCTCATAATTTTTTCTTCTGTCCTGCCTTATTGGTATACATTGTGCCAAGATTTCTATCTTTTTTTTTACTTTTAACTTCATAGAAGGAATTTCCTTTATTTATTTCATGTAAATTATTCTTAGGGGACACAGTCCCAGAATAAAGTTATTTTTATTCTTCTTAGTTATTGGAAGTAGTGAAACCCTTGGGACATCCTTCAAGTGGTCACTTTTTTGAGGTCCATATCAACTAAAATTTACAACAAACCTACCAGCTTTCAAGACAAAAGTTAACTGCAGCATTCTATACAAACATGTTGGGATGAGAAATGTCCAACGGGAATTGTATGACAGAATTAACTACTGCTTGGCGGCTGAAGGATAAGACTTCAACACCTCATTTGACACCATTCATAATAATAACATTAAGCATTTTTCCCTGAACATTACAAATATTTAAGTTAAGAAAATTACTTCCTTTAATGTGTTGAAAAATTCACCACCCTCTATATATTTAACTATACTTCACAGCTTTGTTTCTAAAAAAAAAAAATCCGAAGACAAATTTATCCTTACTTGATTTGGCCAACAGAAAAACTGATGATTTAACAGGATTTGACATGTTGATCGAAAAATGTATAAATCATAAAACCTATTAGCTAAAGCTGATCAATGACAGGAAGATGCCTGTTGTTTATTGTTTTTACCTTAGTGGGCTGTACAGTCCCATGGCACAAAGGAAAAGATTTTTTAAATTCTATACAAATTATATATTTCAAATATTTACATTTTCAAATGTTCAAACATGTATAAACTTTTAATTACATTTAATTAGATAACATATATATATTTATCAGTGTAATTCTAACGGTGAACCCACTCAATCTGGATTATCAACTGGACACCTCGGTGTTGTTACTTCCTTGGGGTTGTGGGCTAGACAAGCAAAACAAAATGGTTAAACTGGTACAATTTAAAATCAAAAATTAAAAATAATACTTTTAAAAAATTCAAATAATTAGAATTTACAATGCGTGTAAAAGAAATTCACACATCCTACCTTCCTCCGAAGAACCAATTGAATATTCCATAATCCAATGAAGTATTCGCGACATCTGTTTGTGCTAGAAACAAAATTACAAAAAAAATGTATAAATGTAAAATTAAATAAATTTTGAAAAATTTATAATTTAACTAACCATTGTCTTGGTAAAGCTGCATATGTTCAATATGCCGACTTTCCCTCTCTTTCTGTATAACTGGATCTTTTCCATAGCCAACATGGAGCTCATTAATCCTGCAACAAACATAAAAGTAACCTAATAAAAAAAAAATAATAATAATAATAATTAATCTTTATGTAAGGTATTGGCTGAGAAAAAAAGTCAGTGTCACGAGTGGGATTCGAACCCACAAACTTCGGCTAGATACACCGGTGCTCTAACCACTTGAGCTATCGTCACTTCGATCCACTCGAACACCAACTTCCCATCTCAACCCAACCTTTCGAATTTTCCTTCCATTTTGCCATTTTTTGAGATGGGAAGTTGGTGTCCAAGTGAATCGAAGTCAAGACAGCTCAAGTGGTAGAACAGCGGAGTATTTAGCCGAAGGGTGTGGGTTCAAATCCCACTCGTGACACTGACTTTTTTATCTCAACCTTACATAAACCTTAATATACCTTACATAAAAATTAATTAATTGAAAGATGTTATTTGGTCAATCGGACCACAAAATCTAATTAATTTAATAATAATAACAATAATAAAACCCTTAAGGAAGTGGACAATTGCTATAAAAATGTGGTGTGAAGGAGCACGGTCCAATCAAGGAGGATGAACATCCATTTTATAAAGTTTCTGCTTTGAATTTTTGGAAGTGTATGAACAGAAGTTGTCAAATTGAAACAAAATCTTATTCCTGGTCATAAATTAATACAGTGAGTCATAGAACAAAAACATAGTGGATAACAAAGCAAAAGAGTGCGGACAAGGCAGTCCATCTCTCCCGACTGGACAAGCGTGATCAGTCCCTCACACTAAGCGAGTGGTAAAGAACATGATAAAACAAAGCTGCCAGCGTCAGCAAGCGGGGTTGTCTGAAAGGCTCTTGCATGTGAGCCGGAAATGAGGAATTGTCCTTACTCAATCAAGAACAGGTCATACGCAGTTCACACACTGGCACTTGCTCCTAGGTCAAAGCCTGTGCTGATGCCCCTTATGCAGAGAAAGTTAATTAATGATTATTTGGAATCGTGAGATGTGGTGTGATGTGGGTTTAGAAAAACATTTTCTTTATCGTGCCAATTTATATATTATAAATCCCAGTCCCTGAAGATGATCTCAATAAAGATCGAAACGTTGGTACAATAAAGAAAATGTTTTTCTAAACCTAAGTTACACCAGAACGCATCTCACGATCTCCAAATAATCACTATTAATACTGTGTGGAGGTCAATGGAGGAATAACTTGTACTCCATTGAATACAGGGCGACTGTATTATAGAATTAGGCTAGATTATATTTTGTATGGGTTGGGGGTTGAGATGACCTAGCTGTCTACAAGCCCCCATTGGAGCCTAACCTGACTGGTCGGGAAGTGACGATCTCCTGGGCATCTGGCTTAAGGGGGATACTAGCAGCCCTGCAGCATAACGGGATAGATTAACTCCTGAGGTATATCCCCTAGGGTCAGCACACTGAAGAGTAGTATGTATATATTACACAGGGTGGACCAAGACCTGAGGGCTTAAATGCCTGGGTAGACTCGTACTCCATCCCTAAAAGATCCGGGACTTGGTCGGCTCACGTGTCCTGCATAAACCTCTTGGACTTGTTCACAAACCCCAAGATTTTGGACCATTTTATCTCCTCTCCTTCAAAAGTTTCGAATCTAGACCTAGCGTACTTATCACACTCTGCAAGGTAGTGCCTTGCCGTTTTTTCTTTTATTTCACAAAAACGGCAAAAGGGATCTGGTAGAAAAGCCATTATGGAGAGGTGTCTTCTCAGTGGGCAGTGGCCCTTCAGGATACCTATCAGCCTTCTAATTCCCTTCCTTGAGATAGAGATTAGCCATTTTGATTCTGCTGGTTTGATCACCTTAACAAACTCTTTCTATTGCCTATGTCTGGGGGATAAATTCCACTCCTTAAGAAATTGTTTCATGCCCCTCCCACCCTTGGGGTGAAAGTCCAACAAAGCAAAAGCGAATTACTTTGATGAAATTATCGTCATTTGGAAATTCGAGTGGTCGCAATGGGATAGTTTCGTACCCCAGAGGAAATTTTTTTTTATCTGCCTTGCAGACTTCGCAAAACTGAACCCCCAGTTCTATTACAAAAATAAAAAATAAGGAAGAAATGGATAGGGTGACAGGTGGTTATACGCAGAGTTTTAGAGCAAGCCTCAAAAAATAAAAAATACATAAATAAATTTAAAAAAAAAATAATTTGTCAATAATATTACAAAGTGAATATACAAAGGTTGAAGACATGTCGAGCATTATATTTATTTTATACATAAAACATTTACAAAAACGTGGGATCAATAAACATTTAAAAATATTTGAGCCTCTTTTTTTTAATTGGGGCATTATTTGGAAAATCTCCGACACATTAAAACTTTTATTATGTCCAGTTTCTCAAGAGTCAAAAACCTTTGATCTAACTTTCCAGGATGGCGGGATACAAATAAGACACTCATTCAGTGTGTCCTTGTATTTTAATTTTTCCCCTCCTGAATGGCAAAAAGTTTTTATTCCTGGAAATATTACACTTCAGATTGCAGGACATCCATCTGGCGTGTTGGGCCAGTGTGGCCTTTGTACAAATCACCAGCACCAAACGTATTAACTATTTCAAATGGCAAGATACACATCAAAATGCAACTTTTGAAGTTTTTTTTACGGTTAATTCAACAGCACAAGCAGTTTTTAATTTGGAGCGCCGTACTCAAGTAATTTTTATTCATCAATTTATTTATCTATCTTTTTAATGATCGTAAACTAATTACTAATGGTGCTGGAACAACAGAACATTTTGCAACAATTTAATAACATCGACTAAGAATAGAACAGAATAGATCATTTGTTGAAATTTTTTCTTTCAGTACCATGAGCAATTAATTTACTACCAATTAAAATGAAAAATAAATTAATTAGTTTTTGGGTAAAGTTGGAAAAGAATTTGTTTTTCAAAACACAATGTTTGAAAGGGGGGGCATTCGGACCCAGTAGTCTTTTATTCAAAAACACCGACACCCTGAGGATTTATATGACCTCCGCTGTTGCGATCTGTCATAAAAAAAAGTTTGTAAATAGTTTTTTACTAATAACTTGAGAACAGTTCCAATTAAAAACTGTTTGCACAGTTGAATTCACCACCAAAAAACTTTTCAGAAAATTACATTGATGAGTACATATGAAGCATTTGAAAAAGTTAAGCTTCTATTCGCATCCTGTTATCCTGGAGTGTTAAATCAACTTTTTTTTTTGTTCATGAGAAACTAAAAAATGAAAATTAATGCGTTTTTCCTAAAGACACCCCAATAAATAAAAAAACAAATAAAAAAAAAAACAAGTTAGTTAAACTCACCCTGTATGATAAATTTCTTATACAAAAAAAAAAACTCACCGAGAAGATGTAGGTATAACGGCTGGGACGGATTCAACACTTTTGGAATTGTCTAGATTCTTTTTTAAATCATCATAAGCCCTCATGGATTCCGACAGCTTAATTTGAAGTGTATCTCTTTCTTCAAGAAGCTGAAATCGCAATTAATTTTATATTGTTTATAATAAAACCAAAAACGAATTGTAGCATTAATTGATATACCTGAAGAATCTCTTGAGTGAGTTCTTCACATTTGACGTCCCTTACATGTAAGGTGTACAAAGCTTGGTCCAGCTTGTTCTGTATAGTCCTTATGTAAGGCGACATCCTAGCTTCTTCGGTCTGGACTTTTTGGACAAGTTTTTCCCTCGTGTCTGTCAAAATGTCCGAAAGCCGGGCGATTTCCAAGTCTTTCTCTTTTATCAAATTTGCATATGTAGTTATATTTTTCTCTTCTTTATCAACATTCGATTTACCCTTGTACATTGCTATTTCCCTCTCCAATTGATCTGCGACAGAAAGTTTCTCTTGGACAAGATTTTCCAATCTCGTCTTTTCTTGTTCGAGAAAAGCCAACGCTTCTCTGAGTTCTGTGTAATCCCTCGAGTTCTTCAAATCAGCAGAATCTCGTAAAACAGCCATTTGTTCTTGTGCTTCAGACAAGGCTCTTTTTTTCTCTTCGAGCTGCTCAGTTTGTATTTGCAATCTTATTTGAGATTCTGAAACCAGCTGCGATAGCCTTTCAATCTCTTCATTCGAACTGCTTTCCACTTGTGTATTTTTCATTGATGAGGCACAACTCTGAAGAGCGAGTAACTCATTATTCTTGCTGATCAGTTCTTTGTCTTTTTCTTGTACGTGCAGGAGATATTCATTACACAGGACTGTCAACCTTTGTATTTCACTTTGTTTAAAATTTAGATCGTGTTGCAACTGGAGAACCTGTTTCTCCAAGAACTCTACTTGTCCTACAAGATGGTGGATTTGTACATCGACAGTATTATTTTCAGATGTGGGTGTTTCTGAATTCGCAAGCTGTTTCAAATTTTCCAAATCGAGTTTAAGTTTTTCATTCTCGCTGGTAACATCATGGAGTTTAGTTTTAATTTCCTCGACTTCGCAGAGGTTGTCTTTAAGTCGTTCTAGCTCTTTCTGAGCTTCTGCAAGAGATTTTTCCCTTCCTGAAACGGTACAGATCAAGTGGGAATTTTCCTCTTCTTTTGTTAATATCGCCTGTTGGTAATAATCCTCAATTTCTTTCACCCTTTCATGGTATGATGACTCTTTGATGGTAACTTCATTTGTCAACTGTTCACTCTTTTGTTTCCAAAATTCCAAGCTGTCAGCGTTTTGTTTGAGTTCGCCGGTAAGCACTTGGATGTTTTTATTCAAATCACCATTTTCTGCTAATAGTTGATTGTATTGTTCATTTAAAGTTTCAATTTCTTTCTCGAGGTTCACATTGCGCTCAGTCAATACTGAAACACGTTGTAAACTCTCGTTCAATTCAGATTTGAGTCGATCAATTTCCGGATTTGGTCGTAAAGACGGTTGGGCAAGGCCTGAGAAAAAGTCATCACTGTCATCTGAAAACCCTTGGAAAATTTTAGGAGAGGCAAGTTGTGCTGTGACTTCTGACTTTGATACTTTCTCAAGTGATGAAAGTTCTAAAAGTTTGACTTTATTTTCTAATTCTTCCTTTCTTTTCATTAGGTTTTCTATTTCTTTGTTTTTAAGAACTAAATCTGCCTTTAATTTTTCATTTTCTTCAGAGAGGTGACTACATTTCATTTCGAGTTCTTCATTTAGATTCTGATCGGGCGTTTCTATGCTGAAGAGTCTATTTTCAACTTCGTATTTTTCCTTCAATACTTCTTCCAACTTCTTTTTAGTCGTTTTCAATTCTTTTGACGCTGTTAGTAACTTTCCAGCGAGATCTAGGTCTTTTGGCACTCCTCCGGAATGGCCTTCGGACAACCACTGCAAGCCTTGCATTTGGTTCGAAAGCTCATTGCTCCTTCGCTGCCACATCTGCACTTCAATGTCTTGCCTCTCTTTCATATTGACTAACTGTTCATTAGCCGAGGTAAGGGTATCGACACGTTTTAACAAAGATTCTCTTTCAAGTTTTAAAGAAGACATCTGAGTTGTGAGCTCATTTACTTTAAGGGTGAGTTTATCATTTTCACTTCTAAGTTCTTCTTGAATAGCAAAATCTAAATCATTAAAATTGGCTTTAGGGGCACTTTTCGCCCTCTCGAGGTTATCTATTTGGATCTTCATTTCTTTAAGCTTCTTTATGTACTTTTGACACTTGATTTTATTTGATTCCAACTCTGATGAAACCAAATCATAATCTTCTTGCAGTTTGCGAAGTTTATTCTGCAATTCTACAACCTTAGGCAAGTCGGTTTTAGTCTCGACTTCGGTAACCTGAGAATCACTGCCCATCCAGCCCCAACCATCCTCTTCGTCTTTTAATTCACCAAATGGGTTATCTCCAGAAGCATGGCCATGGTCTGACCAATTGAATAAACTTAACTCTTCTTTTGCTTCTTCGTTTTTGGCCTGAGAGACTGCTTCTTCAGCCTCTGTGACTACTTTATCTACCTCCTCTGAGACGGACCTTTCAAACAGATTTGCCAATTTGTTCGAATCATATAACTCCTTGTTACTCTGTTTCTTTTGAAGTTCTTCAAATTGTACTTTTAAATTTTCCAAGTCTTTTGCCAATTGTGTAGATTGAGTTTCTAAGAGTGTCTTTTCGTTTTTAAGATGTTCAATTTCTTTTTCTGACGTTTCTTTGATGTTTGCTAATTGAAGTTCAAGGTTTTGATAAGAATTCTGAATGTACATTATTTCATTTACTCTTTCATTTAACAACCTTTGCAGCTGTTCAATAAATTGTTTATTCGCGTGGCTTTCATTGATTTGCCTCTGATAATCTTCGGACAGTTGTCTCATCTGGTTTTGTAACTCTTCTGACCGGACTGATTGTTCCAGTTGCATTTGAAGATTGGTAACTGTTTGTTTAGATTCTGCTAAAACATTGTCCCTCGATTTTACATCATCTACTAATCTATCGATGGAGACACCTGCGTCTTTCAGTTTGTTTTCTAAATCATTACATGTTGCTTCTAGAGTGTTTATCTTCAGTAAAAGAGTATTTCTTTCTTGTTCTAAATTAACACATTTTTCATTTGTTTTTTCATAAGCTTCAACATTAGCTTTTAGTTCTGCGTCTAAAACTTCTACTTTACCCAATGCTGTGTTATAAGCATCTCTAATGCTATGAAGAGTTTCCAATTCTAAAGACAACCCATCAACCGTCACCTTGGCCTCGCTCAACTCTTTTTCAAGAACTGAATTCCTTAATTTAGTGGCATCTGCAATTTCTTTTGTGTCTTCATATTCTACTTCAAGATTTACAAGTTTATTTTTTAGTAGCTCTTCATTTCTTTGAAAAATCTCCAGTTTATTCTCAACCTTTTGTTTGTATTCTTTAATCATGGTCTGCGTCAAGTTTTCAGCTTTCTGCAGTCTTTCAGCCAATGCGGTAATTTTATTTTGAAAGAATGACTCTTTTTGGTCTAATTCAGTTTCCAGGCTAATCACTTTCGATCTCAATCTTTCAACTTCCTCTTCACAGAACACGACATAATTGTCCTTTTCTTGTAAAGTTTCTAAGGCTTTATCATAATTGGTGGTGACTTGTTCGAGCCGGTTTAACAGTTCGCTCTTACTTTCGTTCATTTCTTTTTCTAAATTCATTAAATCTGAATAATAACCTTCATTCTTTTTCGATTCCTTTTCATAAAGTTCTCTTAACATTTCTAATTCCATTTCGTACCCTTTGACAACATCTGATAGCTTATTTCTTTCCACATCCAGATCAGCGATTATTTCTTCCTTCTCTTTGATTATTGCACGAGACTGGTTTACATTTTCAAGCAGAGTTGGAATTTGAAGGTCTGCATTCTGCATAGAAGCTATTAAATTGGCAGATTCCATTTTAGAAACATTCAATTCATCTTCTAGTTGTTTTATCTGGTTTTGTGAGTCGTTTAGTTGTTGAACAAGACTCGCTTTTTCATCGTTAAACGTGGCAATTTCTTTATTTAATTTTTCAACATTGGCTTCAAAATCTAAACACATTTGTTTCTTCTTTTTAAAACTCAAGACGAGCTGTTTATACTTTTGCGTCAAGTCTTTATTATCAGAGGAAGCAGGATGAGCAATTCCGACTAGGTCTTGTTTCGCTTTTTCTTTTTTAGCCAGCGCCTCTTTAAGCTGTGCGTCGATATCAGAATTGTACCTTCTCAGTTCATCGACTTCAGCTAAAATCGAACAGTGCTGAGTTTTGTAATATTCAATTTCACTCTGCAGTGAAGAAACATTGTTTTGAAGTGCCTGTACGAAGTCAGTCTGGGAAGAAAGCTCCTTCGTGACGTTTGCCAATTGGCCTTCTAAGTGCTCTTTCTGTGAAGGGGTGCATTCAGTCTTAAAATCAGTCTCTCCTTTTAAAGCTTGAAACTCTTGAAGGGAAACGAGCTGTTCCTTGATTTGCACCAGTTCACGTTCTTTTATACAGAATTGCTCTTCAATTTCTACAGATTTCATTACAGCCGATATCTTTTCTTCGGTGAGGCCTTGTAACGCCTCCCTAAGCTTGGCGATGGTTTCATCCAAATCCTGAAGTTTCTTCTTTAATTCTTCATTATCTTAAAAATTATAAGGATAATTACTAGTGTAAGTTGTTAATAAACATGGTTTGCATGCATTTCAGCTCTACACCGTCTTCTGCCAGTAGCTCTGTGTTAATGTGTGTGTTTGCTGTTAAGTTAAATAATATGTTTAGTTTATTTTACTATTTTATTTTGTGTGTATGTGTTTTAAATTTTATGAATTGCGCTTTTTCTTGAGTATATTATTTTTGTGTTGTGTTTGCAAGTTTGTTCAATGTTTTCTTTCCAAGCAGCTCAATTTTTTATTGACCTAACTAACTCCACTAATGTTTGTTTTATCAACATCTTAATTTTGAAAAAATAAATAATTCTAGGGTAGTTAGAAGAATAGACTTACTTAAATAAAGAACTTAAAAAAAAAAAAATTATCATGGTAGAAATGTAATGGTATATAAAAATCCCTCCGTTCATTCTAACTTTTTTTTCACAAATAAAATAGATAACAGGTACTTCAGTATAACTTACTTAGAATCAGATTTTTATTTTCATCCTCGACATCTTCAAGTTTTTTCTCCAGGCTTTCTTTGTCCTTTTCTAATTTATTGAACTTAGCAAAAGTGGAATCTGCTGCTTCTAAAAACAACATTAGGCTTTTATTCTAGTCATTGGTCCAAACTATCTAGTTTTATTGTTCTCTAAGCATTTTGGTGTTCCTATTCGTTTGTCTGTCAGATATTTTGTCATTTTGCAGTCTTCTGTGATCAGGGGTATAAGCATGGTGAGGACAAGAGAATTCTCCTGCATTTCCATTTGACAAGGGGAAAACTCGCATAAATAGAAGGAGTCAGTCTCTCCCTGCTTATAACCCTGACTGGTAAGATATCGCTTAATATGACAAAATGACGATATACACTATACAGATAAAACAAACAAGAATAGGATGACCTAAATGATCAATACTAAACAACATTAACAGTCAGCAACAATTAAAATTTATAAATGTGGCAAGTGGGAAGAATAAATTTTTTAACAAACTTTTAACAAAAGTACACTAAATTTCCAAAATATTTTTTAACTTCACTAATTTCGTGGTCCGCTTAACCAATTGATATATTACAATTAATTAAGGTTTTTGTTGAGATAAAAAAGTCAATGGCACGAGCAGGATTCGAACCCACAATCTTCGGCTAGATACACTGCTGCTCTACTACTTGAGCTATAACTTTTGACTTTTTTATCTCAACTAAAAACCTTAATTAATTGTAATATATTAATTAGTTAAGCGGACCACGAAATTAGTGAATTTAATGATTTAAAATGAAGTATACTTCACTAAAGCTCTCCGTGGCTATTTCATTTGTCGCTGAGAATCAAATAGATTACACGACATTTGAAAAATGCAAAAAGGAGGGAAAATTCAAAGGGTGGGGTTGAGATGGGAAGTTAGTGTCTGAGTGGATCAAGGTCACAATAGCTCAAGTGGTAGAGCAGCGGCGTATCTAGCCGAAGATCGTGGGTTCGAATCCCGCTCGTGCCATTGACTTTTATATCTCAACTAAAACCCTTAATTAATTGTAATATTTTTTAACATACATTTCTTTTAGGAATAAATTTTGTTAAAAATTTGTTAATATTATGTTATTAATATAACAAATTGTAAGATAAATCCATAGCATTTTTTAATAAGAAATTCAAGGAAAATTTCAGGTGGTTGTTTAATTTAATCAATAAATGAACCATTTAGTTCCACTACTATGTAATTTTGTAATTTCATCCTCTCTTAACTCTTCAATGTGTTTTCTGCAGTCCTTAAGTGAAGCAGTGTCTATCACTAATAATTTTACAGTGGTGCGAGAGTCATCTTAGAGGAAAACAACTCTTGCGATTATTCAATGCTGGTCATTTTTGGTTAATTTCTGAATAATCACTCCAATTTTGTGCAGTATAGAGTAGTACTAAAGGTTTGGTTGTGTGTGAGATCAAAATATAGCACTCTTCCAATCCCACCGAACGCACAAACTTTCTTGGGATGTAATCCTTGTTTTTGGAGTCATTAACAGTGGGTCACTGTGTTTTCCCAAGGAGTTTTCCTCTTGACCATTGTAAAGAACCCATTTTTTATGACCAGTTATCTTTTCTACAAATGGGTCATTTTTCTGTCCAATAAATTCTGTCAACATGTGAGGAACACACATATCGCTCCGATAAACCTATTCAGCTGCACTCAAATGCATTGAACACTGGTACGAGAAATATCGTGTTGTCTGAGAAAAAAATAAGAATTTCACCATCAACAACAGTTTAAGGACTTTTGCTCTTCCAAATCATTTCACATCTGAACTAAGCAAACCACTTGCGATGAGTTCTTTCTACTAAAATGTCATTACCATACAAATCACAAATGTTCCTAGCAGTATGAGCCTCGGTTTTTACCTTTGTAGAAACAAAAAAACCATTAAATCTTAATGAATAATCTTAATACCCTTCTATAGGTAAAAACCTCGGTATGACTTTTAATACCATATTATCATAGGATGATTATTTAAGCTTTGTTGCTAGAAGGGTGAATGGGACTTTAAATTCACTTTGAACATATAAATTTATCTCACCGAAACTAAAACTTAGACTAGTTCTTTGTTTACTTGTTGCAGTACTATCTCAGATTTTCACTTAATCACATTTCTACTAAAAAAAATAAGAATACTTTTTAATAATTGCACATGATTTGTATTAAGTTTACAAAGAAGAGAGCACATCTCAACACATGACAAGTTCATTCTGGGTAATAATTTATTTGATTACCTTCAACTCCAATCACTTATTTATTAAAAATAAGCTCTGCCCATCATACTTATTCATTATATTCAATTTTAATTCTCCCTGTAGTTTAAATACTATAAAAAGCTTGTATCATGGATCTGAATATAAGAATGATTCTTTTTAGAGTTGCTGGGGCACGTCTGTGGAATTCTCTTCCGCGGCATATTAGGTCAGCCCACCCCCTTCCTTCGTGCTTTCAGGCGTGAAGCTTTCAACTTTTTTGCAAACAATCCTTGATTTGATCAAACTAACTCAATATGATCTTGTTGTTATTCTCTTTTATACTTTTCCTTTATGCCTACTTCTCTCCTTCATTCATATTTATATATTATAAATATGTTATATTCATACAATTTTTTTTTGTATAATTATTTTTTCCTTGCATTATATTTTGTAACCTTTTTGTTATTTAATTATTTTATATTTGTCTACTCACTATAAAGGTGGCAAGTTTGTGAAAATATTTTTTGATAAATATATTTCTACTTCTATTTCTAAACGACAAAAATACACCATTTTTCCTCAATTTTAATTTAGCAAAACACCTTGTTAAAATATGAGCTTGTGAATGAAACTAACAAATAAAAACACCATAACTAATCCCTTTTCAGAGTTTGTAAACAATAATGACTAACTAAACATTGTTTCAAAATAAAAGAGGGGAAAATCAAATTATTGAAAAATGCTAAAGACTTATTTTACAACCCGATATATTAATGACTGTACAAAATGCTATTATGAACCTTAAAAATCATGGTTTGATTATGATATTTCTTTGGGCATTGTTGATCTAACTTATTGGGCCAGCCAGAAAAAATAACAACAGATTAGTCTTAAATTTGTTAATTATTAAGATTTTTGTTTGTTTATATATTAGCAATTATCTTATTACCATTACATTGTATTTCATTCTTAACACCATTGTCTGCAGAGCTTCATGAGCATGAATTAGGGAGCCTTTGAAATGCAAAGGAGGTGTCTCCCGCAGTCATGTCAATGGTTTTTATTTAAAAAAAAAAATTAATGATATTTTTGTTTGCAACGTAAATGTCATTTGAAATAATAATAAAAATCATTTGAATACTAAATAATTTGAAATAATGAAAATAAAACTTGACAGATGACAAAAATCAAATTTACATCATTTCTCTTAACAATGACAAAAAAAAAAAAATAAAAAAATAAAATAAAATAAACTTTGTCACATTTTGTATAAAGAATTTATATCAAATCTGATATTATTTTCTGACCGTTTTTTAAAAAAAATATTGCAAAAGGAATCATGCAACATCTTTTGTCTGCCACCAGTGCTAAAAGCAGAAAATGTGAATAAAAAATTAACTTACAGGTGTCCAATAATTAAGTCACAACAATGGCTATTCATTTTTCCGTTTTCAAAATTTTATCTTTATCTGTTTGTTTAAATCATTATGTACAAATAAGAGTTGTGCAGTCTTTTCTCATTTAATTTGGTCTTCCTATCCTCGTCGGGTTAGTCTGCCGCCAGACCGTCAGTATTTATTCAAAAACACATCTTGAAATATTATTTTCACTGTGTTTAAGCGTTGTTTTAAGCAAAACACTTGGCTTTGCCAAAAACAGGCACACTGAAGATGGCGAAATGGCGAAACATGTCTGACAGACCAATCCAGCGAGAATAGGAGACCAAGATAAATCAGTAATGATCAAATAACAGACTCAACTAGGGTTTGGTTTAAATTCCAATTCCCTCAGCATACGTTAGAAAAGCGTTTCATAAATAATAAATTAAAATTACTCCTAAAACCATCTAACACCTAGATTCTCAGCCAAACCACCAGTTTTTAAGGTTGAACAAGCCATGTTGAATGGTACTGAACACTTTTTACCTTTAATTTCATCTAGATCTACGAGTTGCAACTGAAGGTTACCTTTTTCCTCCTCCAGAAGTACTATCTGGTTTTTAAGCGTTTCAATCTCCTCATTGACCGAACACTGCTTTAAAAAATTTAAAAAATGAGCATGAAAAATTTAATAAACATATTTTCAAATTTATTTACATTAAACTTACCTCTTTTAGCTTTACATTTTCCTCCTGTAGTTGAACTATGGATTTTTGCAAGTTTTCTATAAGATCTATTGATTGCTTTTCCTGTTTAAATAAATTTTTTTTATTGATATTATATAAAATAATAATATTTATTTAATTTACCTTTCCAAGTGTTTCTTTTTCACTTTCTTTAATTTTCTTTAAATGAGCCTTCAATTTTAAATTGACCTTGTTTAAATTATCATTCGATGCTTTCAATTCCTCCAACTTCCCTTCGAGCTCTTTCACAGTATTTTCTAAATCATTGACATTTCCCTTGGACTCTTTAAATTCGGCAAGTTCAGACTCCTTTTCATTTAACCTTCAAAGAAACGATCGACTTAAATTATTCGCCAAAACAAAAAATAAAATAAAACAGACTTACTGCAGTTGTAATTCTTTATTTAGGGATTTGTAAGTATCCAAGTTTTTTCTCAATATGGACTCCACTTCCGAATACTCCTCTTTGACCTTGAGCAACGACTGTTTGAACTTGTTGTCATTCGCAATGACTCTTTCGTTCGTTTCGTTCAGCTTCGAAAGGACCTCGGAGTAGACCTCATAGCTTTCGGCCAACTTGTCACTTTTTTCTTGAAGTTGATCCTGAAATTCATAATGTGTAAGTAGAATGTGGACGAACCTTCAAAGCTGTTTCAAATCACCTGAAGAGTGCGAACTTGGACTTCAAGATTGTTGATCTTATCCTTGACCTCTGGAGGAATATTAAGTTCTAATGTAAGCTGTAAAAACAATAAATAATAATTTATTCCTGTACAAGTGATTAAAATGTTAATTATAAATTGGAACCAGAAAGGTGATTTTATAACTTGTGTGTCATTGTGACCAAACCAGATCTATTCCAAGGATAATGTTTTAGGTATAATTTTAAAGAAGAAAGCCTGGCAAATTGAGTTTCTTTAATATCTCTCTATTAATTGAGGTAGACTTTTTTTCATTCTTCAGGGTCACTGGTAACTAGTCTCCCTATCTTCCACCATGACCTAAAAGATCTAATGTGAAATTACCTTTTTTTTATTTCCAAACCTCAAAAAGTGCACTACCAGGTAGTTTAGTTGGGTTTGTATTCTCTTATTTCTTTAGGTGTTATCATCTTTCAAAAGAGGCTGTACTGTTTCCGGGCCAATGCTTTGCAGTCACAAAGAACATGTTACAATGTCTGATTTTTTTATGAGAAAATCAGCAGATTTCTGTCACAGTTTTGTCCATTTTTTGAAATGATAATTGAATGGACAATGGCCAGTATAAAGGCCTGATATACTTAATTCTTCCCTGCTGAGATAGAGGGAGAATTTTATTTTCCTAGTCGAGATGTTGACTAATTTTTTTGATTATTTTGCACCTGGTGAATTAAACTACATTTCTATGTTTTTAGCGAACTTTGGGCCATGTCAATGTGCTGTCATTGACCAAAAAGTGTGAGGGCTGTTCTGTGTAAAGTTTCAATTTATTCTGCTATCACTATACAGACAGAAACATGACTCATCAGTAAAAATAACAGCATTCCAATTGGTGAACGCTTCTAGGTGCTCGTTGCACCATATTCTCCTGACTTGATGGTGGAGGACTGTTGCTACAGGTCGTCTCAAAGGGGCATAAGGCCAACTTCCACGAATCGTTGGTGTTGATAAAGGCTTGCCAAAACATCTTATACTTCATTTAGGATCTGGCGGCCACTATGGAAAGGGATCTTGCACCAATGACAATATTTCCGTCCTCCCTTAGCGTCGTAATGCACTGAGGTCCACTACCAGGCTTCGTATCGGCATTTCCAGTCTCTCGGAATCAGGCTAAAGCAAGGGAGAACACACTCTGAGAGATGCAACTGCCACACTCAATAATATTGCAAACTTCTGGTACAATGATTATTCAGAAATTGTGAGGTGCGGTCTGGTGTGACGTAGGTTTCAGAAAAACATTTTCTTTATCGTTCCAACATTTCGATCTTTATTGAGATCATCTTCAGGGCCTGGGATTTACAAACATTGTTTAAATTTAACAAATACATGTAGGATGTGGAAAAAAGTGAATTTCAAAGTATTTCTACTAACTCTGTTGTTTTCTGTATAAGTGTGCCATTCTTGCGTGTCGTTTTGAGAGAGCTAGTGAGATATTGCTGTTTTATGTTTATATACATTGGATTTTAAAGGGGTGGGGAAGAAAGTCGGTATAGAAAGACATTTTTGTATAAGGAGTCGGCTTCTTTGAGGTAAAAAGAACCGGCGATGGGAAAAAACATTGGTAATGGTTTGGCCAGATTATCCTTTCAGGATTATATAGACCTATAATAAGAAAAGGAAAGCTAAATTGTTCAAAAATTAGACTATGTAAACATGTTTGCTATGTGGAATGTGATGAATGTTTTATATGTTATATTATATTCACTAATTTCGTGGTCCGCTTGACCAATTAAACATTACAATTAATTAAGGTTTTTAGTTGAGATGAAAAAAAGCAAATGGCATGAGAGGGATTCGAACCCACGATGAATTTAATGAATTAACTGAAGTACACTTCACTAAAGCTCTCCATCGCCATTTCAATTGTCGTCGAGAATCCAAACCGATTACACGACATTTGAAAAATGGCAAAAGGAGGGAAAACTCATAAGGTGGGGTTGAGATGGGGAGTTGATGTCCGAGTGGATCGAGGTCACGATAGCTCAGGTCAGCGGCGTATCTAGCCGAAGGTCGTGGGTTCGAATCCCTCTCGTGCCATTTGCTTTTTTTCATCTCAACTAAAAACCTTAATTAACTGTTATATTATACGTTTTGTGTGATGTGATGATATATGTATGTTATCAATATTGAATTTGATTAATGATATTGGTGTAGCTGTGACTGAGTTTACATGTATCTGTTCTATAATTGATGCTGTGTTTATCTCGGTTGATATAAACCATTTCTAAGAAATTACGTTTATATTTGTTTTGTACTGTGGGTAATAATTTTTGGATTGTTTCACTTTTTTCCACATCCTACATGTATTTGTTAAACTTAAACAATGTTTATAAACCCCAGACACTGAAGATGATCCCAATAAAGACCGAAACGTTGGCACGATAAAGAAAATGTTTTTCTGAAACCTATATCACACCAGACCGCACCTCACGATTTCTGAATAATCTTGACTAACGGTCACTAATCATCACACACTTCTGGTTCAAGTTGATGTCTTTAAAGAGAATGCAACTGGATTAAAATAGAAAAAGTGTTTGTTTACAAAATGAGTAATCCTCATATTTACTATTCTTACGTAAATCCCTTATTAAAATGAGGATTTACAAATTGTTTGTTTTTGGTTTGTATTTTCTATTTTGTTTTATCCAAATAACAAAAATATATCGGTTAATTTAATTAAAATTAATAGAATAAGAATAAATTACAAATATCCCTATTCATTTATGTACAGGTTATATAAAGGTGTGGATGAAGAATTTAAAAAAGTCCAGGTGTTATGATGGGAATCGAACCAATGATAGAGTAGTCTTTGACAAACCAAGAGGTTGGCACTTTCTGAGTATGAGATGAGAATTTAATTTTATGGATCTCAACTTGACAATTTTTTATCATGGCATGAAATACATAAGCCTTTTTTTACAGCAATTATTGTAATGGGATACCAGATTCTGCGTCTTCTGCCTTGCTATTTGCAGTTCATTTATCTCGCTCCTGAGAATCTCATCTGCCGCACATTCCTCCTCGAGCCATGCTCTAAAAATAAAAACAGTTTATTATATTCATCAATAACGATTCGAACCGACTATAGTACCGTGCTTCATCGTTCTGTTGCTTCAGTTCTTCGTCGAGCCTTCGGAGTTCTTCAGAAAGTGGACCGACGTCAGACCAAGGTGTCGGAGAAGTCTTCTCCGACGTCCAGGGTTCATCGAGCTCATCGAGTAGCTGAAAACCAACCTTGGATCATGCCTTAAATCAACCTGTACCTTTATCGCAGACCTTACCTCGAGTTCGTCGTTCGACGCATTCCCTTCATTCGAGGATACACCATCCATTTCGGTGATGCAGGGATTTATAAAAAACTAAAAACGACATTTGCTAACAAGGTCCAACAGCTTGAACACTCCCGACTCTTCTGACTTTCTCTCCCTGCTGATCGTTACACCGAACTAGGACACTGCTCCCGCTGAGATTCATTATTTGTTGTTGCATACGTACTAATAAATAACTTTTTGTTTATTTTCAATAAAATTCTACCTTTTTTCGAAATTAGTGGGCCATTACAGACTCGTGTCACTTTACGTATCTTCCCAGCTGTCACTTCCATATGGCCCAACGGTGCTCAAGGGCGGTACTTAGAGAGAAAGGTTCTCAACGTCAACCAACTCATGGTGAACTCAGAATTTTTGCTCGACGTACTTTGCCAAATATAAATCGATCCAAACATTAATAATAAAACTAAATTATTAATATTCTTGAATAAATAAGCGTAATTGTAATGTCAGCCCTGAAAAAGCCAAATCACAAAGATAACTACCATAAAAAATCTAAACTTTTACTAATCTACTAACTTTTATTGGTGTTTATGATTATTTCTATGTAAATCTGTTAGTTCTGAATGCACTGAAAAATCAGTTTATTAGTTTTGCATTAACAAAAACAGAAATACAACTGTAAATTTTCTTATATTTACACTCAACAGTCCTTTATAAAGGCATGAACATAGTGATTTTTTTTTTTTTTTTCAAAAATGAAGATTTTATTTATATGTCAATAATTGACTTTAACCTAAAATTAAAAAAGGCTGAAAGTTGCCATATGACAATTTTGATCCTGATCATTTTTTCTCAATGTCATAAAGAAAGAGATTCTGGCTGGAGTTGTTTCGATAATAGCTCATTTTGATGGATATGTTTTATGTATTGGAAGTTCTGGCTGAAAAGGCTGATCTGAAAGAAAAAAGAAAGAGATTCTTGCAGTTTTTTCGATTAGAGATAGACATAATTAACTATTGCTAATTAAACAATCAAAAGCTATGTATTGTATAAGCTGTGTTGAATATCTACTGGCTAGAATTTTTAAATTTGTTTTGTTTTGCAATGGAGAACTGAGAAAAAAATATCTCTTTGCGCTTAAATAAGCATGTAAACAAATTTCTTCTCCAGTGTAGGATAAAGATGTATAACTTTGGCCAACTCTGTTACCATGAATGTATCGAATTGCTGAAATTGATAGAGAAGAAGAGTTAGAATGCAAAACTTTAACTCTCTGAGTTCTGTTTGACAGATAGGAAGACATGAAATTAGTAGCGTCATTTTCCAAAGCAAATTATGATTTATGGAGCCGAATGCCTTGGAAAAATCATATAGAACAATAATAGTACACTTATCATCAATGTCTAGGCTATCATATGAGATTTTGAGAAGATCTGTTTCACATCTATGAAATTTTTTGAAGCCAGTTTGAAAAGAGACAAATAGCCAAAGAGGTTGAAAAATGTATCCCCGATATAAATTCTTCACTGTTTACATTAGCCACAATTTACATCAGTTTGACATAAATATCATGCAATAACTGTCAGATATAAACGTATCTTTAGTTCTGTAATAGAACTGGGAGTTCAGTTTTGAGAACTCTTATCCCACACCAATCATATCCCAGCCTTCAACACTCCTCTGAACCTTTAGCCTTATCCTATGAAATTTGCTTCCCCGGGAAGTATGTTGTGCTTCCTCGCTGGCTTGTTTCAGGTCCACGGCATCTGAGTTTTTAAAACCAACATGAATCATCTCATTTTCTTCCCTCTTCCTTTTCTTTTTCCTGTTTCCTTTTTTTTCTTTCTGCTCTTCTTTCATAATGTAGTTCCACCATTTGATTATAAATAATTAATATTAAAAATACATTATTGTCATTATTGTTTTGTATATTGTATTATATGTTTTATTATTATTGTTGTTGCTGTTGTTCTAATTTTAGTATGTTTGTAAAATTTAATTTATTTCTAATATAAGTACATGTAAGGGGGCATAAAGCCCTATTTGTACCTTTAAAATAACTAAATAAAATTATCTTAGTGCAATCACTTGAAGGTTGACAAATTGCTGTTATAAATGAAATTCTGTTTGTATAGTGGTATTATTGGAGAAGATTTACAGATAAATGTTGAAAACTCCATATTTAAATTTCCAAATGATGATAATATCATCAAAATAATTGGTTTTTGTTTTGTTGTAATTTCACTATGAAGGGTTGTCACTTCTTGATGTTATGACCCTAGGGGATATACCTCAGGATTTCACCTACCCCATTGTGCTGCTGGGTCACTAGTATTCCCCTTAAGCCAGATGCCCAGAAGATTGGGGGTTAGGCTCCAACAAGGACTTTCTCAATATCTAGGTCATTTCAGCCCCAACACGTACAAAATATTCCTAATTCTGTAATACAGTCGCACAAATAAATACATTCATACCAATGCACCAATTCCCCATCTCAACCTTGGTGTCTCCGAGTAGATTGAAGTCATGATAGCTCAAGTGGTTAGAGCTGCTGCATATTGAGCCGAATCCCGCTTTTGACACTAACATTTTCATCTCAACCAAGACCTCACATAAAAATAATAATTAATTGAAATAATTAATATGATCAATTAGAACACTGAACATAAATAGATTAACATAGTAAAGAAGTAATCACTTCACTAACAGCTCACCATGGACATTTTCATAAGTTGCTAAGAATGGCATCCTGATTACACAACATTTGAAAAATGGCAAAGAGAGGTAAAATGTGAAAGGTTGTAGGTTGTGATGGAGAGTTGGTATCCGAGAGGATCGAAGTCACTGTGGGTCAAGTGGTAGAGCAGCTGCATATTGAGCCAAACGTCATGGGTTCAAATCCCACTCTTGACACTAACATTTTCATCTCAACCAAGACCTTACATAAAAAGAGTAAATTAAAAAATGTTCATGAGTAATATTTTTGACAAACTAAAGGACAATTTTTGGTGATGGAGAAGTGGTGTCTGAGAGGATCGAAGTCACAATAGCTCAAGTGGTAGAGCAGTTGCACATTGAGCCAAAGGTCGTGGGTTCAAATCCCACTCTTGACACTAACATTTTCATCTCAACTAAGACCTTACATAAAAAGAGTAAATTAAAAAATTTTCATGAGTAATATTTGACAAACTAAAGGACAATTTTTGGTGATGGAGATAAGCAGGAAATGAGGATTTTTATTGCACATATAACCGAGCTCTAGTTATGACTGAGTCATCTGCGTATCCTTGTCAATCAACTCTCATCTTGATTAGCTTGATTAGCTTATATCGGGTATATTCCGTCGAGACTGTGTTTCACTTTTTGGCGGAGTGCTCGATTTTGGATGAGATTCGGTTCTTACACCATGGTTCACTCTCCCAAGAAGTGAGCTATTGCGGTTCTTGAGTGGCTCAAATTTTCGGTGCTTGATTCAGTATGCTAAACATGCTTGGAGCTACAGGTACAAATTGATTCAAGAATTTAATTTTTAAGTTTTATTCTTTCATTGTTATTAAGCCATCAAAATTTTGGATATAGACTTCATTTTTAATACTAGTTAGCTTGTTTATTTATTTATTTTTTGTAGTTTGTATTTTTTTAGGTATACTTTGTATTTTATTTTTTGTATATTTTTTCTTTTTTCTCTATTTTTCTATTTGTATCTCTTTCTTCTCTAAACTGCATATATATTTGTAAACCAATGACCTCTGGCAGACGGATCGGACGATCCATGTCCGTAGTGCTTTTGTTATTTAATACAACGAAAAGTTTTAATTTTGTTTTAATTATTATTATTATTATTATATCGAGTATATTTGGTAAAAATAGAAATTTTGTCCGTGGGATTTTTAAATATCGAAGAGATTGGAGGGAGCCAGGTCTGTAGGGGAGAATGAGCCGAGTCGGAACCGGAGAAAGGCGACCCACCGAGCTGTAGTGGGAGGCAGTGATTCCGTTTGACGTCCAGATGGCAATGGTTCCTCTTTTGAATGGAAAAGAAATTCGCCATGTTTACAGATGGAATATTGTGATATGGTGAAATATTTACACTTATGAATTAGTTTATTGTCAGTGTCGTGGAGGTATCTAACATCTTTCAAGCTGGATAGATTACCCGAATATCTCCGCGATACCGTGGACTGGTTTATGGGGTGAGTCTTGACCGTCAAATTGATTTTCCCATCGGGAAAAATCGAGCTGACAACTCGGTTTTTTCACATTTTTTCCCATTTACCAGTGATTTCCTTCCAGTCGGGCTGTCTCATTTTCAAAAGGCGAACATCCGAGTTATTGATTTTTTTTCCTCGATAGGGCTTCACCGTTAAGGAAAAATCACCTTTCCCTCTGTACCACTTTACGATTTTCCTTGTATTTCCTTTTTAAAATCACTTTAAAATCAAAACTCGACAGAACATCTTCATTTTTTGTATTAAAAAGCCAAAGGGATAAAGTTTAAATAATATAATTTATCCTTCATTTATGTAACTCATTAAAAACGAAAAAAGTGCCATTTCACCCTAGTTTGTTTTTCGTCCATTTCGGCCCAGTTCCAAGATTTTTTACGCTTAATTTCCACCTCTGCCTAGGTCGATGTTTAAGATAAAAGAACGGAAAATAGCCTTACATCTATTCCCCTTTGGGATTGCAGATTCCAATGCAGAAAAATCCCAGTTTCAAATAATCTCACACACACAAACGCAGACAGAATGCTAGATCTATTTGATCATAAGTTCATGGTGAACATTTAAAATTTTTGGACATTCCGTCCCCTGGTTGTCCAGTTTTTTCTCAAAACTGGTTTTATTAACAAATTACATTCATGGCAAAAGAGTTGGTCAAAACTATCTTCTTCGTACACGGGGGAAGAAATTTGCTTTCACGCTCATTTAAGCGTAAAGATTTTTTTTTCACAGCTCACCGTTGAAAAACACCAAAACCAAAACAAAGTTAAGAATTCTAGCCAATACAATATCTCCAACACAGCTTACACAATACATAGGTTTTTTGTTTAATTGGTAATTTTTAATTATTTCTAAGACCATTAACACCAATTGAAAATCCTGCCAAAATCTCTTTGGCCAAAATGACATTGATTTATTAGAGTCAAAATTGACATATGACAGCTTTTTCAGTCTTTTTAGTTTTTGGATAAGTCAATTATTGACGTACAAATAAAATTTGCATTTTTGAACAATTTTCTTGTGCTACTTCTATTAAATAAAATATTTTCTTAGCCAAATTGAACAACGCAAGAATAAGAGACCTTTTCAAACTTTTTGTAACCATGGTCGACTGAAATGTTGAACTCTTGAAAAACCAGACCTAGGCGGAAAAAAAAGATTTCATCTAGAACTTCCAATACAGAAAACGTTTCTGTCTTGGTCAAATGAACTACTATAAAAACAACTCCAGATGGAATTTCATTCTTAATAACATCAAGAAAAAATGATCAGGATCAAAATTGTCATATGACAGCTTTCAGTCTTTTTTAGTTTGAGGTTAAAGTCAATTATTGACATATAATTTAAATATAGATTATTAGAAAACCTTTTTCTTCCACTACTTGTATTAAATAAAACATTCTCTTGGTCAAATTGAACACTGAAAAGTAGAAAAAGGCTTTCAAATTTTTTTATAACTGGTTGGTTTTGAAATGTTGAACTCTTGAAAAAAAACATACATGGAAGATCATCCTTTTCATCTAGAACTTTGAATATAGAAAACATATCTGTCTTGGTCAAAATGAACTACTATAAAAATGACCCCAGATTGGATTTCTTTCTTAATGACATAAAGAAAAAATGATCAGGATCAAATTGTCGTATGTCAGCTTTCAGCCTTATTTAGTTTGCGGTTAAAGTCGATTATTGACATGTAAATTAAATATGGATTATTAGAAAAACCTTTTCTTCCCCTACTTGTATTAAACAAAACATTCTCGTGGTCAAATAGAACACTGAAAAGAACAAAAGAGCTTTCACACCTTTTCATGGTTGTTGTTGAAATGTTGACTTAGAAAACAGACACGCGAAAAATCAGTTTTTTTCAACAAGAACTTCTATTAGATAAAACATATCCATCAAAATAAGCTATTATCAAAACAGTTCTAACCAGAATCTTTATTCTCTCTTTAAGACATCGAGAAAAAGTTATCAGGAACAAAATTGATATACGACAGCTTTCAGTTTTTTTTTAGTTTGCAGTTAAAGACAATTATTGCCATATAAATTAAATATGGACTATTGGAAAAACTTTTTCTTCCACTACTTCTGTTAAATAAAACATTCACAATGAACACTGTAAGGAACAAGAGAGCTTTCAAATCTTTTCATAATCATGGTTGAAATGTTGAACTTAATAAACAAACCCACAAAAGATAATTCTTTTCAGCCAGAACTTGTATTGCATAAAACAATTCATTCTTTGTCAAAATGTTATATTAGCGAAATAACTTGGCAGGAATTACTTTTTCAGACAAACCTGACACGCTCAAAATTGTCCTATAAAATAAACTATTGACACAAATAAACTATCAGATATTATGATCTGATAATTTATTTGTTATTGACACTAATAAAATTAAATCTAATTGGACTGATATTGCTGGAAATGGTTGAAAATGTTTTGTTCTATTGTTTCTGTCTATGTGTCTTTGTTCTATTTTAATATTAAGAATCGTAAAACTGCTAGGATGAATTGTAATGATTCCAGCCTGAATTACGGAGTGTTTCAGACCAAACTGTTACAATCAAAATGGTTTTTTAAGCTTTTAATCATTTCTTGTTTGAGGTTGAAATCAATTATTGTCACGTATAAAACTATTATATATGAGTTATTGAACATTCAAAAGTTATTAGTACTAAAAAACTAAATCTATTGCTGGAAAAAATTGGTATGAAACAAATTCAATAACTTTCCCAATGGCTTTTAAATCAACTAGTTTGATTTCAAAGCAAATTATAAGGATTTATAGCATGATTACACCAAACAAACCCAATTCTTTAATTAATTAATTTATTTATTTACTTTTTCAGCCAGAACTTTCATTACATGATACGTTTTATTCATTGTAGAGATTTTAAACTTTTAGTTTGCAATTTTGTTGCAAATTATTAAGTTTCTTAACATCAATTTGCATCAGTACAAAACAGGGATTTATTTAATTTTGGGGCAGCAGTACCTGAGTGGTCACCGTGATAGACTAATCGGTTGGTAGACCTCACGGTGATTGGTTCGATTCCCACCGTAGCCTCTGGCCTTTTTTTGGCTAAAATGCAAAGTTCATAAAGCCATTAAAAAAAATTAAATAAAAATAAAAAGTCAATTATTGAAATTTCTAGCACTATATAATATATATTATGCATGGCGGGCGACCAAGACCCGAGGGGTTAAATGCCTGGGTAGACTCGTACCCCATCCCTAGCACTATATAATAAAAATTTTAATTTATTTTTTTGCCAGAACTAGTTAAGATTTATAAAATTATTAGATATGAATTATCAAGCATTTAAAAGTTATTGGCATTAATATAATTAATTTTACCTGGACATAGAGGTCGACATGATTCAAATTTAACAATTATCACGATATGAGAGCTTTTAAAATATTGTAACATCAATTCCAAGTCAATTATCAATATTTACATATGAAGAGAAATTGAAACAAAACTTTTTCAGTCAGAACATAAAGTTAAAAATAACCTACAAAGAGTCAAATTGAAAACAAAATTTCTACAATGAAGAAAACAAAATTTTTTAAGCCTTTTGCTCTTCATTAATTGCTATTATATATAGGGCAAGAATAATAGAAGGGAATTAACTACTTCCATTAACTCTTGATCAAACCAAATCTTAACTTTTTCAGCCAGAACATTCATCACAAAAATATTCTCTACTACGAGAACAATAGAATTTTCAACACTTTTGTACTGTTAATTATTAAAAATCTTAAAAACTGCTAGCATTAATTGAAACAACTCAAGCAGAAATTACTTCTTTTTCAGACAAAATTGAGACAATTAAAGTTGTCGTTTGACAGTTTTTAATCTCTTCTTGTTTGAGGTCACTGTCAATTATTGAGATTTATGACATCATTAACTGCAATTAAATAAAAGCTTGACTACTTCAGCGAGGACATCCATTCCTTCTAAGACTCCTCACGTCATCAAAACTTTTTGTTAAAATTTTCTTGATGACTTTTAAGATTAATATATCTAAACTAGTGTAAAGTACATGATGTGAATATTCTATCTTTTCTAATTTGAGATCAATTTTACGTTTGCAGCACAAATTAAATAAACCCAATGTTAATTATTTCAATCAGAACTTCTAATTTTAGATTTTTGGCCTAATTCTTAAATATTGCATCAATGGTTAACTTTAATCAAAATTACTTCAGCTAATATTGCCCTTTACAGAAAGTCTTAATTGACTTTGAGCCAATTATTGTCATTTGTTATTCTATTAACAGCAATTAAACCATTTATTTTAGTTGGCATTTCTATTATTAAAAAAATCATTTGCTGAAATGTTGAAATTGAATTACTATGAATACAACTGAATACTACTTTCATACTTTTGGTTTCAATTGTATTGCTAATTATCAAGATTTATAAGTCTATTAGCTTGTAAATTATATTGCCAACTGTAAATTTATTTTTATACCAATAGTTAAAGTGAAGTTTATTCCACTTTTTATTGTTACACATTTTAATCAATTTACAAGCTCCTTTTCCGAAACGGCTGGGAAAACTAAATTTTGAAACGAATAATGGAAATGTTGTGTTAAACAAATTTATTACTCTATTTATTTCAATGCTATGTTAAATTTACAAAAGTTTTGAAGGTAATTCACAATGGCGTACATTCGTGTTTTAAATTTGCAGGCTGAAAGCTGACCATTTTGTTGTATAATTGCCAAAATTAGTCTCATAAGGTGACTGAAATCTAAAAAATTTCCAGCCTTATTTTGAGTTCATTGTACTTATTTGGCTTCATTAGCTGATAGTGGCAAGCGGCAGTTCGACAGTAATCAAAATCTGAACAGTTTTCAGCCTTGAGAGCCATTAAAAATTGATCATGATTTAAAAAAAATTCCTTACAAATTTATTAAATTTATAACAGAAAATGTAGCCTTAGTTGGATTTATAACTGAAAAGTTCATATTATGTGTATTTACTTTTCAGGAGGTTTAAACATAAAAATCCATTGGAACATTTATTTTTCATTTACTTCGTTTAGGATGCGTTCAAACTAATCAGACCCATGTGCTTTTTATTTGTTTTATTTACTTTTCATTTTGTAGAGTAATTCCCCGATAAAATGTTAATGCCGAGCTCTCACCCTATTTTATTTTTAAATTTGTGTTCTTTTCTCCGGTTATTAATAATACATCAAGATGTGATTCGATTTTATTCCAGCTGTTGAAAAAACTTACAGAATATTTTATGAGTTTATTTAAAATTCATAAATATGTGAAAGTGAGCATTAATATTTAGTAGGTAAAATATATTATTAGGGGGACCTCAAAGAAATTTTGTTTTAAAACTTTTGGAAAGCATTTTTTCTCCTTACAAGGCAAAATGTTTTATTTTATGATCCTGATAGTAGGGGATTAATTTAATTTTATAATAGGCTGGAGAAATATTTTAGAAAAACTTAATAGAGCTTTGTTTTCTACAGAACAAATCATTGTACAAGGATGTTATTACATAATGTAGTAACTTTTGTCCTATTTTATTTTAACGTTTTACCATATCATCCTTTCTCTTCTCTCAACTCAGGAAGCCATTATTCAAAGACATAATACACTGGGTAGTATTGCAATTTGTTTATTCATTTATTTATTTTTTAATAAATAAAATAAATCCAAATATTGAAAATGGCACCTGTAAAGGATCTAAAAATTGCAATCAGTGAATAGGGAGTCTTTGTAAACGAGTCTTTGTCAGTTGGATCTTGTTCCACGGTGATGTTACAATTTGGCCGAAATGCTTCAAAACAAGACAATTATCTGAGTCATTCAAGTCGCCATTACAGATAAATCTTTTTTCTTTTGACCTTTTCCTTCGTATGATTCAGTTTGGGAAATGTTAAGAATATTTTCAAGGCTGAAGGAATGATGAATCACCAATACCAACTTGTGTTCATCGTTGAAATGATATCATATCCAACTGTATCGAAGTCTAGGACGTCGTTTTATCTGAGCAAATGTTTTTTTAGATAATTTGTTTCTTGATGCCTTAATTTGACATGTTTGTTTCTATTTCAGAAAAGCCCGTCGCAAAGACAGAGAATCTTCATCAGTTTGTTCCGAAGAGCCAAAATTTTACTTAGAAGAAGCTGTTTTAGAAAGAAAGTTACCGGAAGTAGATTTAAAAATTTTAGTCGATTTACCAACAGGGCTAGACTATAATGAATGGCTTGCCTCACACAGTCAGTTGAATATTTTTTAAATAAATATTACTAACAAAATAGATCTGGCACATTTTGATTGTTTCATTTGTGTTGTTGTTTTGTAGCAATTGCGTTTTTCGACCACATCAATTTAGTTTATGGAACTATATCGGAATTTTGTACCATGTCGGGCTGTCCAGATATGACAGGCCCCCAACTTAGGTAAATAATCTCCTTTTTTAGATTTAATATTAACAAAACTAATTCGATATTTTGTTTCAGAACTTATTTATGGTTCGATGAAAAAGGGAAAAAAACTAGGGTAGCTGCGCCTCAATATATAGATTATGTTATGACATTTACGCAAAAAACTATAACAGATGAAAATATATTTCCTACAAAATACGGTAAGCAGATTTTTTTTATCTCATGATCCATACATTCATGGGAAATATTGTGCAGAAAATAAAGCTAATATCTTTACAAACATGTACTTTTTTCTTTTTTAATACATTATTTAAATTTAAATATACGACATTGAAAAATCACAACCATTAACATATTTTTATAACATTACAAAAATAGGTGATACAACAAATTAATTTCCTAATTAACATTAATTGCAATTAAAATGGTTAACTACTCAATTCCACTCCTCAGATTATCATTGGAAATAATTTTCTCCAGTTTGTCTTCTAATGTGTGAAATATTTTCCCTTTAAATGTGAAGACTTTGAAGAGAATCTGAAGGCGTGTTCTTAAAATCTATTTTTGGTTATTTTTATGGTAAAACTCGATGGATTTTCTCTCATATCTTTATTTTATACACATTGAAGGGATTGCGTGGTTAGGATGTCTACCTCATATTTTCTGCCATTTCTGGGTTCATTTCTTGTTATAGCCCATGAAATTTTATTTGATTAATAATATGTAAAAGGTATTGTAAAGTGGTTTGACCCTGGTATGCAACACCCAATTGGTAGTTGAACATTGAGCCTTCTTGAATAACAAGAATTGCATTATTTTACTCATCAAGTTGCATCATCATTGACCATGGGGTTTGTAAATTAAAAATATTGGCAACCTTTATGCACCAAATAGTGGTAATCCACGGCAAACATCTCACTTTTGCAATGAAATTTCCATTTACTTTACAACAGAAACCGTCAGCGTTTTTGGAGCACCGGTGGCAACAGTTCAGGTGTTGACATGGTGACTCATTACAGATAGATAAGAGACTTGGATTCGTATTCAGGGCCACTTGATTCAAATGCAACATACAAATGTGTTTTCTTTCCTTCAAAAAATGGTACCCCATGAGTTGATATGACCTCTGCCTTTGTGAACCCCACAAAAAAATTTTTCTTTCAAATCTGTATTTTTGCATAATACATATATGCAAAATACATCATGCTATGAGTTATGATAAAATTTTAATAATTTTAGATCTTCTCACTAATAGTCCACTTGAGGCTCTTTTTGTTCTTGTTTTTTAACTATTTTATAAACAAAAAACATGTGCAGTGCAACAGTTAAATAGGAAAACATAGTCAACTGAGATGTTCACATATTTCAAGTTATGTTTCAGCTTGAAAGGATGACTCATGACAACCGGAAGTCTTGACGATAAAAATGTGACTGGGACTTTAGACAATCAACTCTGTTGAACTGGATAGTTTTTGTTGTTGATCAATAAAAGTTGAATCATGAGAATGTGATGTGCCTTAAGGGACTAGATCATGATATGGATTTGGGAAGTCGAAGAGAAAAACAAATTCAGTAATCATTCAGAAAAATTTAAATCTGTAGTTTTTGTTTTTTTATGTACAGTTAGTCAGAAATCATTTTTTAAACAAGGGTATTTTATGTATGAAGTTATATGAATGTTCAATGAAGGTGCCAATGTTTTTGGAAAAAAAAAAATGAATTTGACAGTATATCTGAGCTGAATTTTGAACCTTGGACTTTTAACTTATACCGTGTCAATTTCTTAACCACTGTGGCCACTGATGCCATATTTTTTATATTTATGCTATATTTTCAAATATAATATCTCGTCCAGAAGTCCTTTGATGAGGGCTGCGGTAGCCGAGTGGTTAGCTTGAGAGACGGCTCGTAGACCTCGCAGACGTGGGTTCAATTCCCGCTGTCACCTCTGGCCCTTTTTTTCATGATACCCTTCCCCCCAAAATGAATGCATAACATATTGACTCATGCATATACATAAAGCCATTAAGAAAAAAAAAAGTCCTTTGATACATTTTTTACTCTATAAGATTGTTCTTTTCATTAAATAAAACCATTTTATTTTACTTTTTATTATTTTTGTTTCAGCAAATGAATTTCCGAATTCTTTTGAATCGATCGTACGTAAAATACTCCGCCTACTGTTCCATGTAATGGCACATCTGTACCACTGCCATTTCCGTGAAGTCGTACTTTTAAACCTTCACGCCCATTTAAATTGCCTCTTTGCACATTTGATACTGTTCAACGCAAGGTTCAATTTAATCGATCCGCACGAGACTGAAATACTTTCAGACCTTGTGACCGCTCTAAAACTTTTAGAAACTGACCAGGAACAACCGCAACAACAACAACCACAACAGGAAACTGTTCAACAACCAGTACCACCAGAGCAAAACAACGCTCAATAGGCTGTGAATACACTCTTGCACCAGCTGCTTGATCTCTTTCCTTTAACTTTGTGTATAGAGCTTGAAAAAAAAAAAAAAAATTAAAAAAAAGAGTAAAAAGGAAAAAAATTATATATAATGAAAAAGAGAAAAAAAAACCTTAGTAGTATAGAGCTCTCATAAGTCTTACCTTGGTTGTTTTATCCATCACGCACTCAAGGTGGACTTGTTATGTACTTAAATTGGGCTTCATGTTAAGCTGTTGTTAATTATTTGTTAGTTATGTATACATAATGTACATAGTGTATAGAGACTGAATGCTCCTTTGTGGTAAGTACATAAGACACTGTTAATTATCTTGCCCTGACCGAAAAAAATTGAGGCTGGTTTAAAAAAAATTAACTTTTTTAAAAAATAAAATGACCAGCTAGTCAAGAGTAATATATTATAACACATTTAAAGAGTACCATAAATGGCCTTCGGTCGAGGACAAACAAGTGTTAAATCTGACAGATAGTGTCCAATCAAGGTCGATAGAAAATCACAAGATTAGTCGGTTTGATGAAATGAACAAATGAAGTGATGACTTTTAAAATGTAGTATATTTGTAGAAATATTGCTTTTAAAACATTTTAAAAATTGAATTGACTCTCCCGATAGAAATAGAAATATTCCAATTAATATACGGAGATTTTAATACTCTGCTTAATTGTTTTTTTGTTTTCATTTGGACGTTTTAAGCGTTTTAAAGCATAATGAATTGTAATGACATTAGTGCCAACTTTTTGAAATCTGCTTCATTCAATAGTTTTATTATTGAAACTATGAAAGCCAGTGGCATTGTATTAACTTGTGGATTCGCCTTGTAGACATTTGTCCTTCTTAAAAAAGATCTAGGAGGGGGGGTCGGCATAATATTTTTATAATTTGACCGTTGTAATTGTCCCTAACTTTTTTTTAAATCAATCTTGGATCTTCTACCGACCTTGTTCATTAATGTTGTTTCCTTGTGAATATAACATTTTCGTTTTTAATTTTGCCCGTTTACAACAAAGTTTGTTTTTAATTAACTTTAAAACACAGCACTTGTGGTGCACTTGTGATGTGAAATTGTGATTTGTTAGAAAGTTTCTTGAACAAGAAAAAAAATGCTTAATTGGTTTTTAAATGTAATTTTATTAACAAACAAAAAATAAATTATTTGCTTTCTCCTTTTCTATTTTAGATCAATATTTTTGTGTGTTATGTCCAATAGACAGTAGTTTTAATGTTTCCCTGCCAAAAACAATGGTAATTTAATATAAAAAAAGTTAAAATTTTTACTCCCCCAACTTCAAAAAAGAAAAGAAAACAATTTTTGTTTATTTAGGAACAAAGTGGTAATAAAATATTGTATTAAGAGAAAAAACAAAAAACGAATTAAAACTTATTTTGCTTGTAAAGAACTATTTTTGAATGTCATGTTTTTGTTTCTGATACTTCTTAGGCTAGTGATTATTAATTCCTTGGTTGTTTTGTTTTTACTTATTTAATTTTTATCAGTTGACAATATACTATCTGTGTAGTCACTGTGTACATATATGTTAGTAATGCTAGTTTAATCTACACAAAACACATTCACCTAGGAAGAAAAAAAAGAATAAAATAAACAAATAGACTGCAAGAAAGCTATATCCTTAATTTTATGTATAGAGAGTTATTGAGGAAAAATTTGAGTAAAATAAATATTATATTCGTGATTTAGATGATTTCACTTATCACCTCATTTCCATATTTAAAATTAGAACATAGAAATCATTTATAATTTAGATTTGGAATCTGTTGTAGTTTTTGCATTTTTAAAGCTATAAATGTTGCCTTGGTAAGTTTAGTGCTTGCAAGACATTATATTTTTGATTTTAAGCTTTATTTATATGATAACTTATTTTATTTTTAGTTATCTTTCTTGTTTTTTACTTTTATTGTTTTGTTTGCCCATCATTGGCCACCACAAGCCATTGTGTGGAGAGTCGGTTGGCGTGCAGTTTACGGTGGTTAAGGATGGCTTTGTGGATTGGTTTTCCTCTCACTTCATAGGAGCCCTCCTGTGCAAACAATATGCGCAGTAAATTCATACTCTGCGCTACTACAATGGCCAATCATTGATCAGTGTGTGGATGGACATGTTGACTCAGATGGCACAGGGACACACTGATAGAGGACATCTTTCCGACCAGTATAGTGCCATTATGTAGAGGAAGCATTAGAAAACATCTCTCATACCCCTTAAAAGAAGAAGGAAGCTATATCTAAAAGCAACCAATCAAAAATATATAACCCTTGACCAGAGATTGTTTTGCAAAAACTGGAAGAGCCCTAAGATGGCATATGACAAAACAAACGGCAGACCCTTGGTCAAATATGAAGCACTAGTATAGTGACTAAGAACTGCATAAGGAGACACAAAACAAGCCCACAACAGCAATGGAAACTTCTTTGGAAGAATGGCATCTGTAAGTTTTAGGAAGAGGCCATAAAATGGTATACTAGATGGATCAAATAAGCAACATGGAGTAGGTGTATGGGGATTAAGGGGTTGAATTTACACCTGAGGTCTAAGTAATCCAGCAGTCTCAGGAGTTGATACAGATTATGAAAGGTGCACAGGTCTACTTACTTCACGACAGCCTGCTATAAAGGCACTAATGCTTTTAGCTCCAAAATTAGTTTGGGAATGCCTGAATTTCCTAATAAACCTAGGAAAACACATGGAGTACCTGAAAAACCTTTGGGATCTGTAAAAAGCTTTAAGATTAATGAGGAGCCCTATACAGCAATGTGGTTGCACAATAGACCTATACCGGTTATGGTGTGCAGGTCGTAAAGAGGCCAACTTTAATCTACAGTATAGCCACTTCAGTAAGGCAATTCTAACACCAAAAGCAGTCAATTTGTCTGGCCGAAGTGTATGATTGATTTATGCTTACATGATGTAAGGAAAGGAGAATTTCTTAATTTATCTAATTATTTAAATAATTTAATTTAAAAAAATACATTTGTTGAGTGATAAAATACAATCAATATCTATCAACTAAATATCACAATCATTAAAACAATTCGTTCATTGGTGTTTCTTGAAAACTGTCACAAAGAATAACAGAACGGACAAGCTTGGACCAAATGAGAGTCCCTTTACAACACGGGCAATTTCCCTTTGTAGGAATTATATGGTAGGTGCCTTTTGTGAATAAATCGGCACAGCAATTAATGTGGAACAAGCTGTGACAGGTGTTGTAGCAATGTAATATATGTTCATCCTGTTTGAAAATCGGGCCTTTGCATATAAAACAGTTAGACATCTCATTGACATTCAAATCAACACATCCCTCCTCTTCCTCGTCGCCTCTTGTTGACACCGCTATGTGATCAGGACAGTTCGGTAGTAACGGTTCTGAATCTAATAAATACTCGGGATGAAGTACAAGAACTTCTAACGGGGCCCGGTTCCAAGGGCCGATATTGAGCAATGCGTCCAAAAGCCTCATGTTGAAACTCAATTTTGATTCCTTACGCTTCTTTCGCCCTGTTTGACTTACGATAGCATTTCGTTTTGTAGCATTCTGCCATGACCATTCAAACCTGAGGGCGGATATTTCGTTGCGGAAGCCTCGCACTCGAAGGATCATCTCCCAAGGACCTTTTCGGTCTGTTTTCTTCGCTCCTCCTTTTATCATCCCGAGGTTGTGCTGTTTTAATCTTCTCTTTGGGTCGACGGTATACCCAATATAGACATCTCCTAAATGCTTTTCATTTAAGCAATATAAAAAATAAACTGTGTAATCCACTTGCTTTCTCTTGCTAGAAACCTCCATTTCCCATTGTCTTTTTTACTCAACAGTAATTCTGCAACAAACAAATAATTAATTGTCAGTATTTCTTTTTAAGCTTCATTATTTTTCAAAAAAATTCTCTGTTATTTCTTAGGTGTTTTCTTTGCTTAGGCTTCTCTTAGAAAGGGCAGTTTTTTATCTGTCTTTTTTTTACAAATATTTTTGTGCGCTTTCATAAATTGCCCCCATGTCAATGTTTAGAAACCCCTTATTAAATGTTCATCTGATTTTTGCTATAAATTCCAAAATTAACAGCAGAATCTAAAAGTACTAGTTGTGACATAACATTTAATTAGATATTTCAGCCAAATCTAGGAAATTAATTATTTTCTCTTCATAATGAAAAGAAAGTAATGCACTAACTGGAAAATTGGATCATCCTTGTTCGCCTATAACTTTTAGCCTTTTTTTAAGCTATTGTAAGATAAATTGTACTATCAGCAACAATACTATCAATGATTACTGATTTATATAAACTCAATTCTGCACATGGATGCACATACAGACATACACACATAGGAAGTAGAGTTGAGCATATCACTCCTAGCAGACCACTGGCAATACCAGTTTTTGTAATTTACAATAAATTACTCTCAAGCCAGGAGAATCACCCACTCCGAAGTCAGACTTTGGTCTTATCCGTCCGGGCGCTGAGGTTGGGTTTCAGTGACAATCAACAGCTAGGTGATTTCAGCCCCCGGCGTAATCTGTTTCCAAATCCAAACCCATTCATACTCAGTCCATCACCTCCCACACATAGAACTAATTTAAGTGAGGGTCTATGGAGTCTTCAATATTCCACCATTGGCCCTCTCACACTACACATTTATGCCAATAAATACATTCACTCTCAACACACACCAGGGGATACAAAACAATACCTGTATCAATACTATATACAGTTACAATTAATTAAGGTTTTTAGTTGAGATAAAAAAGTCAATGGCACGAGTGGGATTCGAACCCACGATCTTCGGCTTGATACGCCGCTGCTCTACCACTTGAGCTATCGTGACCTCGATCCACTCGGACACCAACTTCTCATCTCAACCTCACCTTTTGAATTTTCCCCCCTTTTTGCCAGTTTTCAAATGACGTGTAATCAGGTTGGATTCTCGACGACAAATGAATGGCCACAGAGAGCTTTAGTGAAGTATACTTCATATTTAATCATTAAATTCACTAATTTCGTGGTCTGCTTGACCAATTAATATATTACAATTAATTAAGGTTTTTAGTTGAGATAAAAAACAACTATATACAATGTATGGTGTGTTTAGTGACCATTAGTTAATGATTTTTTGGAGATTGTGAGATGTGGTCTGGTGTGACGTAGTATAGAAAAAATATTCTTTATCGTGCCAACGTTTTGATCTTTATTGAGATCATCTTAAGTTTGAAACATTAGCATGATAAAGAAAATGTTTTTCTAAACCTACGTCACACCAGAACATATCTCACGATCTCCAAATAATCACTATATACAATAAAATAGCCCTGTTTCCTCCGTATTATAAGAGGTAACAGAATGCATTAAAGGAAGCAGGAAAAAATTGCAAATTCTAACAGGATATTGCAAACTAAATGGAATCTGATGAATATTAGCATAGCCCAACATGGCAACTGCAGATTCTGTAAAACGCAAAGGAAACCATCCCACTAACTGTGGTGCTACACTTCTCGCAGGAGGAAGGGTTTTGGGACATACAATGTAACCATAGAAGGAGATTCACTAGAACCAGGCCTACTTCTCAAATTTCTTAATAATAATCTTTATTCATGGCTTAGCCATTTTGCATTGCATATAAATACATAACATGCAATACATCATTTATGTTGGAGAAACACAGCACTTTTACAGTTTTGTAAGCTATTACAGAATAGATCTATCTCTACTGAATTCATGAGCCTACATGCTCTGATAATAGGTGCTGAGAATAAATAGTATTACAGAAAGGGATAGAAAATAATTTTTATGTCTAGTTAATTTTAAAAGAACATTTAAATAAACTTGTTGCAGAAGCTCAGGGCTTTCTATAATAAAGTTTAACAATTTATATAAAAAATATAACATCATAAATATCTCTTCTTATTTTAAGGTGAATAATTTCCATCGCAGCTCTTAGTTCATCATAATTTATAGTCTAAGTTTAAGTGTAATTTGTAGGCTAAGAATCTTAAAAATCTATTTTGAACTTTTTCAAGTTTATTGATGTATCTGAGATAACTGGAGAGTTGAACTCAAGAATAGAGCAAATAATTGAAAAGTAGTTTTTATATAATTTAATTGTTGAAATCCTTGGAGTTTCTTTTTAAAAATCCTAGCAGTTTTACGGCTTTATTTACAATTGCATCTATATGATCAGTAAAAGAAAGAGTTGTATCAAAGATGACTCCTAAATCTTTTATTGATTTTTGCTCATTTAAATTTATATCACAAATATAACAGCTAAATTTAATTTGATTAGGATTTCTACAAAAGCATATAATTTGGATTTGTTAATGTTCAGGTACAAGTTATTTTTATCGCACTAATTAATTAGGTTGTTCAGTTCAAATTGAACACTATCACAGTCTTCTAGTGACTTAATTACTCTATAAATCATTTGTTAATGAACTTAACTTAACCTAGCCTAATGAACTAGGACTTGCTGGCATGCTAGAAGCATAGAACCCACATATATACAACTCCTCCTAAAGGGCACAGTGTAATACACACCCCAACTAATACATCTACATTTCCTAAATTCTTGTTTCCTCTGCTGGCGTCTGTCCTTGGCCTCGGGTGTTGGTCGGTCGAACTGGTTGCTTTAATATAATTCTACTTTTCACCATTTTTAATGGTTTATTTTATTTGGGGTGTCAGAGGCCACAACGGTTTAGACAATGACATGGCTCATCACTGTAAGGTAAAGGTCCTGAGTTTGAACCCAGTGGCCCCGCATACAAACCCAACTTGCTTACAAATAGACTTTTTATTTAAGAACACTGGCACCCCAAGGGTTGATATGACCTGTTGCAAACCCTTATAAAAAATCCTTCCTCCTGGATAAGTGTACCGTCAAAATGAAATGAATCGATTTTATTTAAATCAGCTAATGTCATAGAGGATACACATATATATGAAGATCATATTGAGGGAAAAAATATAATGATGGTAGTTGGTGAACACAATTCAACTGAAATTGATTTCTCCCTTAGGTCTGTCTCTTGGGTGTTTAGATGTACTTCTAGTACCGAGTTCCTCACTGAAGATGTCGTGAAGCCGAAAAGCTTAAGAAAGAAACGTAAACCACAGTAAAAGACGACAGACTCGACAGAGCGATCAAGTGACGATCAGTTTAACATATTTTATTTATGTAGTTTTTATTTTTTATAAATACGTTTATAAGTTCATATCATTGTCCTTCTTCCGAGCTCTGAGGAAATTTTAAATTAAATCAAAGCCGTAATTAAACCATGAGATGTTAAAGGACAATTATTTTATTAATTAATCAGGTTTGAGAAACGAACATTTAAAAGACTTGTTCAAAATTACCTGAAAACACGTACCGGCCAGCCTATGATTCCATGATAAACTAGACGCCGTCTCAACGATCATCGTTTCCTATGATGATGATGACGGTCACAAAACTTTCTTTTCTTCAGATTTTGAGTCAAAAGCTTTATAAATATATTCATTTTCTTTCATAGGCGCTTTGAAGCTTACTGCAATTTTAAAAATACACTTAATTAAGGTTTTTAGTTGAGATAAAAAAGTCAATGGCACGAGCGGGATTCGAACCCACGATCTTCGGCTAGATGCGCTGACTTTTTTTAACTTTTTTATCTCAAATAAAAAACTTAATTAAGTGTAATATATTAATTGGTCAAGCGGACCACGAAATTAGTGAATTTACAATTTAACTTTTCTTTTTTAAATTTAGATAACCTTTTACCATATATTTTCTTGCCTTTGCATAAAGCAACCAATACTATTAACAAATCCTTGCATAATAAGCAAATATATCTGTTTTTACTAGTAATAAATAACAAGTAGTGCTAAGTATTAATTACTAGTAGTAGTTAATACAATAAGTAACAAGTATTTGTCAATTCATTAAGAAAAAATTACATGTTCCAAATGTTTTTTTCACTATTTGTGTCTTACATTATAATACATATCACCAAATGTTTTAAACTGAAAATAAATTGTAAACATTTGTCCAATGAGCCAGTGAGAAAACGTCTTTAAAGATCTGTTTTTTTAAACCAGCGTACTAAAATTTGTTCCCTTTGTAGTCTAGTTGTGCTTACTGGCTGTCCCATTAATTTGAACTAATTATAAGCCTATCTAGATCTATTATAAGCCTTATTTTTCTCTATTCCCTTTATTGTAAATATATTTCGAGCCATACTGTGACTCCTCAGTACAACTGAAAACTGAGAGAAGTGGAAACCCAGATTTTTTTCTACTGCTGTCGTACAAAATTAATTGGTCAAGCAGACAACGAAACTAGTGAATTTAATGTTTTATTTACTTCACATGTACCTTACATTATGATACATTTAATTTATGGTTTCCAATTATGTTAAATGAAAATAAAATTGCAGTGTATGTGGGTGTCAGTAGTCTGTGTTAATGTATGTGTGTACACATTTTCTCAATTTTTTATTTAATTATTTTTTATAGGGTTTATTTGGGGGGGGGGGATGCAGAATACAATTCTTTCCTCTACACAATGTAAGCAGGTCTATTGTAGAACACCTACAACTTGCCTTGGAAAGTGCGCTATTCCTTATAAAACTTTCCTTGGTGTCTCTTATGGATCTCCTTGGGTTTACCGAAGTGGCTGTACCGTAAACGGGCTAATGCTTTAAGTATATATTATATTATATTTTAAGTATATATGCCAATGTTTCTGGTCCCTCCTGACAGAGCAGACATGGTGTAGAGGCCTATAATTGTTCTCAAATCCCACCCGCTGGGAGAGTTCTTTCACCTTCTGTTTTGAGATGTTTATAAATCTCTTAGCTTGCCTCATACCTGGAGTATTTGTCCAGTGTTTGTTTTTCTTTTTCAATCATTTTTCCAGTGCTAACTTAAACACACACTCTGGAGTAGCTCTGGTCACATGGGCGAGAATTGCATTATTTTGGCTATTGGCTGTTCATTTCCTTCTATGCCTTTATGTCTGGGAACCCCCCCTCCCTTTAACACAATGATGTGGCCAGCGTTAATGTGTCTTTGTCTGTCTGTTCCAATGAGAAAATGTGGGGAAGTGAATGTTTTAGTGAGTTGATGAACATGTTTATGCATTTTCTTAATGATCTTGGTCGTTTTTTTTTTTTTTGACAAAATTTACCTTACTATGTGCCTATTTTTTTCCTGTATGGGGTTGTAAGGATTGGTTCCTTTAGCATTTAAAACTTTCATCTACTGTGCCAATCTTTGCTAATAGATGTCGTAGAAAATATTTGTTTCTTTTATGAAGTAAAGAATTCTTATCAGGAGTTGGTATCAAGATTTGTCTGGTTCAAGAATGGTTTCCCGATACCATAGCTTTTTCCTAGCCATTGAAATACGTTCTGTTGTTTCTGTCTCATTTAGGATATAAGTCATGTGTTGATAGACCCATTTTTTAGAGTGATATTTAACTGGGACATGTCCTGTAATTATGCAAGAGTTTTTAATTATTTTGTGTTTAGTAGGATTCCTCTTTCTCCCATTGGGTTCTTTTCACAACTAACCTTTTTGCTTGCCCTATGCTCCTAGAATTTGTTGTTTTCTTTAGTTATCCAAGATTCCTGTCTTTTGTAATATGCCTGTCGCTGACCGAGCATCTTCCTAGGTGAAATCTTCTCAACTTAAACCCATGCTTTTAAGAACAAAAATTGTTTACTCAGAGTTATTGTTTCCTTGAAAAAAAAAAAAAAAAAAACTATTTAAAAAACCAATTAATTCACTTGACAAGTTGGCTCTGGAAAGGATGAAATTGAACTGATGTCTTTATTTGTAATCTAAAAAGTATAAAAGGATTACTAACATCCTAAACAGGTGAACAAATTATGAATATTGTGTTTACATTTATAGAAAACAAATAAATAAGTTTTTTTTGGTCTTTGAGTGTATATATCTATTTCTAATTGGGATATTTCATGTTAAAAACACACCGATAAAATTAAGCATAAGAAAATTTCTGTGTTCCTGGGTGGCTGTTGAAAACACTGAAAATTATTCTGTAAAAAAAAATCTGAAAAAGATCAAAATTTGGTTTATTTTTCATTTAGTGGATAAGTGGTATATTATGTGTGTATACCTTCATTGAGTGTACGTAACATTATATGTCTGTACAGTTTTTATTTAAATAATTTGTTATACACCCATAATACTGAATGATTAACCCCTACGCAGGTGAATAAAAACAACGGAAATTAGCTTCAAATATTTTATTTACAAAAAAAAAAGTAACAAAAAAACATTTGGTAATATACATACTTTCCACACAACCCATCCATTTAACATTAAACAAATTTCCAGATGAATGAAAAGTCCACACTGACATAATAAATTAATAACATTGGCCACATATCGGCTTGGGGCGCCTGAAACTACATAAATCACAATGTTTAAATTTCACCTACTTTGGAATCCACATGGGTCAAACGTATTCCCCTTTAAAATTATAGTAATCACAGCCATGTGTTTGTTTTAAGTAGTGTTCCAAAAATAGTATATCTTCCTCTTCAGTTGAATTCATCTTTTCTTCGATATCACCTGAACAAAATTATTGCTAACAATTCAAGTTTTTTTTTTCTACAACAAATTTTTTATTATAAATCTTGAGATTGGTTCACTTGTGGTAGTGTTGAATCATGTATGTATATATTTGACATGCAGCATTAATATTTTCTTAATATTAACAGTTAGTTTATATATATTTTTATCTCCTTATATTAGTAATGTATGCCGTCAAAAAGACATCAGGATTAGTTTTTATCAAAATTATACAACAAAATTCTTCTACCAAAAAAAAAATTATAACTAACAGTTAACGGAATTGATAATCTATAGAACATTTTATAACAAAAAAAGTAAATTACAACAGAAACAAAACTATACTAAACAATGCCCTAAGTTATTAGATTTTACGTGAGATGAGAGGGCGTCCCTTCGAAGTTGCAGAGCCAAGGAAGCTTCTGAAATTACAAAACCAAATATAAAATAGATTTCTACAAACTTCCCTCGATCCATTACATAAAATTCAATCAACAAAAAATGTCACACGTCGGTATGTCGTTTAGAATACAAGTATCTAACAGTGAACCAACCTCCTAAATGCATTTATTAAGGGTATCAGTCTCGAAAAATGACCTTTTAAAAATTTATAATAAATTAAAATCGAAAAATATGGATGATTCGAATGAAAAATAACAAAATCAATAATATGAAACTTGATAAAAATATTTGCTGCCTTCCTGAACCTAGTAGCATTGATGAATGCACTGAAACAAAAACAATGTAGTCAAGTAACCACCCTGAAAAGAACTGCTTACAAAAGATCGAGGTAACTCAAACACAAAATGAAAAATTCAAACATATACAATATTTCACAGGCAATGTATTATCCAATAATAAAATATATATTTCATTATGATCAGCATTACCGCAAATCATGAATTGAGATATCACATGAGTGCAATGGGATATATTTCATATTAAATATATCACATTAAAACAATAAGTAAATACTGCAAAATAAAATAATATGTTTTAGATATAATCACATAATTACTATTGAAAGTAAATGAAAACATACAATACACATGGGAAATTAGCCTCGACATGAGTTAGGACTGCTTGGATTAATATGATTAAAAGAGTAAATTATCAAAAATCAGTGTATGGTGTGACCATTAGTTAATGATTATTTGGATATCGTGAAATGTGGTCTGGTGTGTTTAGAATAACATTTTCTTTATCATGCCAACGTTTCGATCTTTATTGAGATCATCTTCAGGGCCTGGGATTTATAAAATTGTTTAAATTATCCAAATAGATGTAGGATGTGAAAAATGAATTTATACAATGCTAGAAATTTATTTTTTCACATCCTACATGAATTTGTATAATTTAAACCATGTTTATAAAACCCAGGCCCTGAAGATGATCACAATGAAGAAGATTGAAACGTTGGCACGATAAAGAAAATGTTTTTCTAAATCTACGTCACACCAGACCGCATCCCACAATCTCCAAATAATCAGAAAATAAGTATTGACAAACAATTGAACATATTGTGCCTGTGGGGTACCGTCCCCTGATCGCTCTTGACGAAAAATGTGAAGACATACAAACAAAATGCATTAATGCACTGTATGTAAATATGTTCGCCTATATCGTTTGACTTATCCGATGATTCGGACTTTGATATCACCGCCATCCACAGTGAACTTGCTAAAAATAGGAAATATTACATCACACAGACAAACTTCAACTTACCAACCCTTTCTTTTTACAGCCAATAAAAATAGATTTAATGATCATTCAAAAAAATAAAAATATAAAAAAATTAATTAGAGAAATTTATTTTATCTTGTACTAAGCTAATTAATTTTTTAAAAAATCAATGACAACAAAATCGTATATTTGCACTTTGATTGCCTCTGACTACCCTGGACTGTCTATAGCTAGATTCGTTGGTTTTGCTTAGTCCTGAATAGTTTTTGTATTAAACACATGAAAAGTATACCTTTTTTTCTATAAATGTGTAAATGAGTCTGTCTGTAAAAAAAAAAAACCTAAACACACAATCTCTCTTCTTGTCATCAACCCCTTATACTTAAAAATGAGTCCAAAATAAACCAATCAGACTTGTATCAATTACAAACTAACTATTACCCTCAAACTCGTAAAACAAGCTAATGCTTAATAAAATGAACCAAAAATTAAAGAGAGAAAAAAAACCACGGTATTAAAAGATAAGACAAAACAGAAGAAATTTCCCTTGACTCTAAATAAATGAAACGATGTATTTTTTAAAACACCCAAACACTGCAACCATGACAGTACATCAGCTGGCGGGGATAGATTGAAGAATAGGAGATAAAAAGATAAAAAAATTGACAAATTTCTATAAATTGGTAATAATAAATCTCACAATTTATTTGTTTATTGTTATTATGTAATAACATAAATGAGTGTAAATGAAAAATAAAACATTGAAAATCTATGACAAAATATTAAACAATTATGACCAGCAAGTTCAATCAATGAAATGACAGTTTTAAAAATAAACTGCTCAAACAGTGCAGCCATGACTACTCACATCACATGACAGCCACAGAGTGATGAAAAAGAAATCGAAAGGTCAAGAACTGACCCATTTCTGCAAATGCACAGGCTGAAAACGCGTGGGGATTGTGATTTAAATTATTTTTCCATATTTGTTTATTGATAATATTATGTACTATTTAAAGATAAAATAAAGGGAATCAACAGGCAAAGAAACATCGGAAAATCCCTCAAATTCAATCAATGGAATGTTAGTAATTAAAAAATTCTGCTCAAACACTGCAATTATGACAGCACATTAACTGATAACTAATCGTCATCAAGAAAGATAGAAAATATCAGGAATGTGATTTAATCAATTTTTTATTATTAAGTAATTAAGGCAAACATGAACAATCATCGCTCTTATTATAACACAAGTGTGTACCATGAGGAAAAGAACGTTGGAAATATACAATAAAACATTTCAAATTTATGTAAATCAATTCCAATCGATGGAACGATAATTTTTTGAAAAACATTGCCCATGATTACTCGCATAAACTGCCAGTGTAGGCTGACGAACTATCATCGTCAAGAGTCATTTCAGGAAGCCGATGACTGCTTGCACCGCATGAGTGAATTTGGCTCCGTTTGCTTGATGATTTTCCTGGTTAATAAATGTCAAATTGAGATCAGAAAAAGGCTTTCTGTATGAGACATCGCAAAATAATTGTCGGTAATTTTCCTGAATTGTACGGATAAAAAAGTAGACAACCTAAATTGGATAGATAAGTGCCAAGTTCGATAAGGTGGGGACTTATAGTACTTTTAGAACTTGATGGTACTGCTTCAATAGTTTCTTTGTTAAGCCGTTCAAGTAGAGTCTATAACACTTAAAATTGCTTTACTAAACAATGGACGTGAAGAGCAAAAATGTAACAAATATATGTCTGTTAGTCCCATAAAGGAAAATCAAAGAAAAAACTAACAACAGAGCTCAGCAATGATGTAATAATACCTCAGATGCTATCTCATTTCAGCAAGTTGCTAGAAAAAAAGTGTTAAAGAATATTCATACCTTGTATGTAACCGTCAATAAGCTCTCCAAGGAAAACAAGCTTTAAAGAATAAATAACAAGGATACAACAAGATAATACTCCAGGCTAGAAAAACTATAACAAAAAAATTAATAGCCAGTAATTGGAATTTTAAAGGCTTGGAATGCAACATCAATAAAGATTACGACCAGCTTATAAGGAAATTTATTAAGGAAAGAGTTGTTATGGAATAAATAACTGTTGATAAAGTTTACCCAATTACATGAGGAAATAAAACTTTCATTCAAGCAGAATTACGCAATAATAAATGCAAGTAACTCATGCATTATTCACTAAAATTATTCATACACTTTTTTGTGGCAATTTTTCCTTAATTTTATTTTGTAACCATTTTTGGACTATAAACTAGACTATTTGACAATACATTTCACGGAATTGTTTTATTGAAAAATAATTAAGTGGTTCATTAAAATACAAAAATTTATGTTAATTCATACAATTATGTTATGGCTCTGCTAAAACATTTTTGTTAAGCAAACAACCACTAGGGGTAGCCTAAATTACATTAAATCATTCATACGTCAAATTATTTACACTAAAATTGAATTAAGTTTATCAATCCATTAAGAATTACATTCAAACATGGCTGAAGACAAAAGGTCAATGCCAAAAAAAAAAAAAAATTACATCAATCTGACATCTTTTGATAGTCACCCACAATTTTTCATAAGATATCTGTTAAATCATATTCAACTTGTAGAGGCGCTTATTTTCCAGAGCTCAAGCCCAAATGAAGCCCACCTTTTTTTAAAAAACAAATTGGGGGCTTTAAAAATGTGGTTCTGCTTCCCCTTTGTTGAGCCACTGACCAGAATGTATTATCATAGATAATCCATTTTTCATCACAACTAACAATTCTATCCAGGAAAGGTTCTTTTCTGTTTTTATAAGTGTTGCACAAACTTCACAATGATGATTTTTTTGGCTGTCATTTTATGCATGAGGAACCAAACTTTTTATCTTTTGATTTACTGAAAGATTCTCGAACAGTTGTTCTTTGTTTTTCTTTGACCAAAACTCACAGAACATGGAAGAAATCCTTCCTCGACCTTCTTTGTTTTTAGGGCGCTCTCTCTCTCTCTCTCTCTCTCTCTCTCTCTCTCTCTCTCTCTCTCTCTCTCTCGAAATTTTTAAAACACATTTAAATGGTGCTCTCACCAACACTGCCATCACTCCAGACTTCAGTAATGTTTCTGGCTATTTGGCCAAATTTAAACTCATAAAATGAAAATCACGCACTGACATCTTAGTAAAGATTGAATTATTCCCAAGTAACCCCTGGCCCCCAGAGAAATGCTAGGAAGTGCAGGATATCGACATGTGTAAAAACTCTTTTTTTTTAAAATTTGATTTTGATAAACTAATGATTATTATTGAAGCAATATTTCTTTTTTAAGTTTTTCATAAATCTCAAACTGTGTTTAGGATAAGTGTGAATTTATGCTACTATTTTATTAAATTTTTATAATTTGTGCATCAAGAGGATGTAATATGAAACATGGTGTGCTGTAAATAAATTATTATTTAAAAAATCACACTAATAAATACATTCATTTAGGCAAATAAAACAGCTAACATAGTCTGGTGGATCTCTGGGGTACTCTGTATGCCTTCACACACACTCAAGCCAAAAAGCTAAAGAGTATTTACATCGTTTTAAATTAATTGAAAACCCAAAGAGCGGATGTGATGAGGGAGCGGTACAGATGTAGGACCATCTGTTTTTGATTGCGAGCTACAGGAAAGGACTTAGGCTTCAGAGAGAAGTACTGCTGCAAGAGTCCACCATCGAACACACACTAGTTACACAATAAAATGGGGGGAAAAAATGAATTCTTTGGCCCACTGAATTATACAAGACCTAGGCTATTCAAAGAGAAAATGTGCATGTGAGTGCATTCTTAAATTTTGTAAATAATTTAAATTTTGGTGCATTCAAAGTTTAGCATCTAGGTAAAGAAAAAAATGTTCTTTTAATATAGTTAATGTAATATACAATTATATGTTGTAATGTTAAATACGTGCAATCAATCAAATTGGGGGCACATAGTTACGAATAAACTCCCTGGCTACAGGGATACTATGACCAGAAAAAAACCACAATCAACCAATTACGCTAATAAATACATTCATTCAGCCATGTAGAAGAGAGTGCCCCACTTTCAACACGCTCATTCTACAGAGACAACAAATATTTTGAGCCCTGAAGATGATCTCAATAAAGAATGAATAGTTGGAACAGTAAAGAAAATGTTTTTCTAAACCTATGTCACACCACCCAAAACATGAGTAATCAAACTCATTAGGGAAGTACGGTCTTCGGTCTTTCAAGCGGAAATACATGCCATTAATGCTTGTGCCCTGGAAAATCGTAAAATAGGTTACACTGACAAAAAAATCCTCATAAGATCAGATAGCCAAGCGGCTATTAAAGCATTAGCATGTAAAAGAATCACATCAAAATTAGTCAGTGAATCCAAAATCTCCAAAACCTGGAGACAACACAACCTGATGATATCTTGAGTGCAAGGGCAGGAATTTTGGATAACGACAAAGCAGAGACACTGGCCAGGGGAGGATCTGCAAGACCACACATAGGCCCCGAACCTATTCTTGGGATAACAAAAACAAATATAGAATCCTCCATCACAGAATGGATCCAAGCAAAACAAAAGGAGAAGTGGATAAACTCTAGCGGTGCTAGACATAGTAAACTTATGATGAAACAACCCACACCGAGACTGGCAAACTCACTGCTGCAATTGGAGAGGGCCAAACTCAGAGGAGTGGTAGGACTACTAACCGGTCACTGGATCTGAGAAAACATCTACATAACGTGGGTGTATACAACGATGATCCCATTTGCAGATTATGTAATAAGGAGGAGGAAACAGCCACTCATATCATCTTCGAATGCGAAGCAACAGCTCAATGGAGGTTTAACCTAACGTCCGGAAAAGGCTTAGGGAATCAAATTGCAGCAGCAACAGTCAATGAACTGATACTTCTAAGAAGAAGGATTGAGTGTATTGACTGAACTAAGGAACTAGGAAGGTACAATAAACCAGAAGGCTGCAGTGCCTGGGGAATACAAACCCCGCTTCCTAGTATCCTTTTCCACCATACCATGTCACACCAGACCGCATCTCACGATCTCCAAATAATCATCAACTAACAGTCACTAAACATCACACGTAATATACAATTGATATGTATGTTAAATAAGTGCAATCAAATTGGGGCACATAGTTATGAATAAAACCCTTTGTACAGGGTTATTGTGACCAAGAAAAAAAAAAAAAAAAAAAACACAATCACACGAATAAAAATACATTCATTCAGATAAAAAATAAAACAACTAACATAGTTTGGTGGATCTTTGGGGTACCTACTCTATATCCCTCCACCAAAACCTTTTGTATTTTAATATAACACTTAATTATTTTCTAAACAAACTATTATGAAATGTATCGTTGAAAACTGTAGTTTACAGTCTGAAGAAAGGCTTTAGTTACCGAATAAAGTGAAAGAAAAAAAATTATGAATTCTTTTGCCCACTATGTACAAGACCTGGGTTATCTACGAGAAATTGTTAAAGTGAACTAATATTTTTAAGAAATTTTTAAAAAAGCTGTTTTAAGTCTGAATTGTGATTGAACTTTTTTCTTAGTGGTTTTGTTTTGTAAAGAACAACAAGAACTTTGAAGGAAAAAGAGGAAAAAAAAGAATAAGAGAAGGAAAAAAAAGACTAATTTTGAAATTTGACGGTTATGGTAGAGGGGGAAGCTGACACACTCCCACCACGGTAAAGGAGCCTCTAGCCCTCTATGTTAATCTAAGCTCGTTGGTTGGAAAGTACGCTGCTCGTAAATTGCTTAAGAGTGTAACTGTTATTTCGCAAGAGAGAACTAGGTCATCCGATTCATTTCCACGAGTTTGGTTCGTACGTAATCGCTATTTTTAGCGTTAAACCAATTACAAAACAAAAGTTTAAAAAAAATAAATCGACTAAAAGTGTGTAAATTGAAAAGGGGGCGGAGGATTCACCTTGGCGTATCCTTTTGTTCCGTTCGGAGCCGAGGTCGGCAGCTTGGCGTTTCCTTGCGTGCGCTCTCCGGCTCTCCTCGTTTCCGTCGCAGTCGGGCGCCGCCGTCGTGTCCATCGACTCGTCGTCCGGAGGCGGCGCGCCGACTGCGTGGACCCTCTCGTAGCCGTAGTACGTGCCGGCCGAGACGTGGCTCGGCGGACGCATGGTTGGTGAGTGATGAAAGTCCGCGAACTCGCTGAAAGACTTGCGATTCCCCCAGCAGATGCTCCCGTTGTGAAGGCCTGGCATTTCGACCGAGTTCTGTCGGAACGGGCCGAACGAGGAGCGTCTGACGGGTCCCCGACGGGGTGAGGGCGCGAGGAGGGAAACGCCAGCCAATCCGGTTAGAGCCACCAGCCTTCTTGATACATATTTATTGACATTTTCGAACAAAAATGTGAAGCTTCTTTAATTTCCTTTACTTAAACAATTTATAATTGTTTTAATTCAATTACAACGATAAAAGTAACCTATAGAGAAGGGAAAAGGATCTGCTTATCGATCACTGAGGAATCGTTCACTCACCCAAAGAATTTCCAATGATAAAATATCTTTGCTCAACTGTCTTGTGTCTCTAAGTAGAATCTTTCGTATATTAAGAAATAGCTATTAACGTTTTTTATATCAATTAGGAAAGTTTACAATTTAAAAAAATCATTTGTATAAAAAAGGGTGCTTTATAGCTGTTTTAAATCGATGTCGGGACGTATCGATTTAGCAATCATTGATCAGTGAACCGTTCACTCACTCAAATAAAAAGTTTCTTTTTCAAAACTGTCTTACATGACTTATAATTTGACTTAAATAAGAACAAGACTGAGGGACTGTTTTTTATATTAACTAAGAAGTTGTACAGTTTAATTACATTTAATTATTCCAATTGTAGGAGTTAGAGTGTGGCCTACAGAGACTGAAAACGGATCGCTTGGCGATCACTATTTCATGTTTCATTTACAATTTAAAAAATCAACAAGGTCTACTGTATATCTATACACAATGGGCAGCTTCCAGAAGCTGGCTTTGTCAGAAAGTTGAGATTCATACTACAAAAGAAGTGAATTCAATTAACAAAGGCAAACTGGTGAGGAGAGTTTATACTCAAAAGCACTTGTAATAGCATCCTTAGATTTAACAAAAAAGACTGTTGTACTACTAATCGCCCATGGCAATATAGATGATCACTGTAGGGCTAGGTAGCAACTACCATGTGCAGCAAAACCGAACACTACGTCCCATATCTAATGTAGGGATGGTTAGCTTGCTCCTTAGTGTGTAAGACTTTTCCCGAAACGATCTGACAGACCGATGTCGCCCACATTACTGGTATGTTATAAAAAACGTGTTTGTCTAATGCAGAGGCAGGTGCAGAAAGATAGGCACATTTGGATGTAGAAAATTACTAAGCTAAAGGTTAATCACTTAGTATATATTTCAGGGAAGAAATCTCTAAAAAAAAACAAGTAAGGTTTGACACTAAAAGTGGTTTTATATATCCGATATTTTATTAACCTTTGAAACTGCACCTTTTGTTGCTCTGACCCACCAACGTTGATGTAGCATGTCGAAACTTTTCTGACAGACCAAAACCAAGTTGATAGGCAGATCAGGATCAACGGGAGCGATCAAGCATTTCATCACCACGTAGACCTCATAAAAAATTTTCACAAACCAAAAATCGGGTTTGGTGGGTTCGGTGAAATCATCTGGAGGTCTGCGGGGTAATGAAACTATATATAGGGTCGTTTCCGATCATCTTGGTCTGTACAATGAGTTTTTAATAACATGCCAACCATCGATGAAGGAGAATGTCGAAAGGCAGACCTGGATAATCAGAATAGACAGACCAATCACTTCATTACATCGCATATCTCAAGCAGAATTTTCACAAACCGAAATAAGGGTTGTCTTGTGTGAATTCCTCTAGAGGTTTGAGGTGTGATGAACCTGTAGCTAGGCCATTTCCGATCATCTTGGTCTGAAAAACGCGTTTTTAATAACACGCAACCGACCATCGATGAAGACCATTGAAGAAGAAATGTCCAAACTTTTCTGACAGACCAAAACCAAGTTAAGATAGGCTGATCAGGATGAACGAGCGATCAAGCATTTCATCATCCCGTAGACAACAAAAAGAATTTTCACAAACCATAAATCGGGTTGTGTTCTATGAAATCCTCTGGAAGTCTGCAGAATAATGAAACTGTACTAGGGCGTTTCCAATCATGTTGGTCTGTAAAACAAGTTTTTAATAACACGCCAACCAACGATGAAGGACAATGTCAAAAGGCAGACCTGGATAATCGGAAACGACCATCACTTCATTACACCACACACCTCAACGATTTTCACAAACCCAAATAAGGCTTGACATGACTGGAACTCTCCGAGCCTGCAGTTGTTGTTTGGCGATTTGGTAACAAAATTGGTGGGTTTATTCGTTATTGAAAACGCCTCTGATCAGAGCAAACGCAGATCCATGAAGATAAAACCAACTTGTAGAAAATGACCAAACTACATGTTCGTCACTCTGTATATCTCAAGGTAGAAATATCACAAACTAAAGTAAGGTTGGAAACTGAAGGTGTTTTTATATATCTTCTATAACGTGTAGTATATTTATATCAACCGACCAAATGTATGCTGATAGAGACACACTGTGGAATATTTGGTAATGAGAAGGTGGACCATTTGGCAAAGCAGGCTGTCCTTAACGGAGATAAAATTACATCAAAATCCGATGTGACAGCTTGGCATAAAAGAAAGTCTTGCCAGCTATGGCAAAAGTAATGGGAAACGACTTCTAATGTCAAACTTAGAGAGATAAAAGACTATGTAAAAGCTTGGGCCTCATCTCGTAGGGAGTACAGGCACGAAGAAGTTGTCCTTGCTAGGCTCAGAATCGTAGGCTTACTCATTCTTATCTCATGGCATAAAAGATACTCCGCTTTGTAGTGTTTGTACAGAAAGGATAACAGTTAAACACATTTTGACACAGTACCAAAAATATGAAGGAGAAAGATATCAGCTGAAAATCCAACCCACATCAAAGACTCGCTTGGTGATGACCCCGACCAAATAGATAAACTACTAACTTTCCTATAAAAAAAATAAACTAATTTCTGAAATAAGAAGATAAAATTATAAAATAATTTAATACAAAAGAATTAATTTCATGCGATGATCTGTATTTTACTCAGAGTTGGAGATGTCTTTGGTTGCGGCTTGTGCCTCTGGGATCCTTGGGTCATTATGAGGTCCCAAATCGGGGAGGTGTGTGGACGACCGACGACCTCACACACCTCTCAATGATCTGTCCTAAAGTCTAAGCACGTGATTCTGCCGGAGCCCTGGTTCCCGCTGTCGATTGGTTCCTGGTCTGTGGCCCACTCGCCTCCCAGCCGGAAAACTTTTAAGGCCGATGATGACCCAAAGCGGTTGATCGCCTTTTATTTCGAAGTTAGGAAAGCCAGGACGATCGGCAATATTTGTGTAGTAGTTGTAGAATCCAGTCGACTTAGCTACCTGCTGGTTTGTTTGTTTGAACCTTTTATAACTTTGGTTTTAAGACTGGTTGTGATTCTTGCGCCATATTGGTATGTTGTATATGAAGTTGGTTGTTGTAGTATCATGTTTCAATCAATACAGCGGATAACTATTTTTGAAGTGTAAGATAATCGACAGACATTGGTGTACGATAAAGGATGTACACTGTAAGTAAAGACAGAACATTTATCTGGATCGTCAAGAAATGATTAGGATGACACGGCATTACGAAACCGGACGGGCCACATGCCGTCAACGCCATCTCGCGGTTAGGGCCGAATAGGACAGAAAGAAATCGGGTCGGCCTCGCCCAGAAAACTTACGTTTCGATACAAAAGCTTTAGGACGAGTCGTTTATTGTTTAGTACGTGCGTGTTATAAGTGTTTTGTTTTTTATATCTGAGAGTTTGTTTGTCGGCCGTAGACACGCGGTGGGAAACGCGGGTGGGAATCGGCGTATATGCGTAAAAAGATCGGCCTCAGAAGCATCGGAATTCGAACTTACAAGCGCTGCTGTCGCTTGGAAGCCCGATCGTCAAACCGGCACTCGGTGGCTCTGCTGGTAGACGTTTCTGGCAATCATTTTTATCTCCGTTGTCCGTCCCTGCTCGTTATTCGCACGTCTCGACCCGACCGGAACGTCCGCGATGTCCTCCAGTGCCGGGTCTCCGTGAGAAGCGACTCGTTTCAGCCGGGATGCGACCGCGGATCGGGCAACGCTGATAACGCCCTACTCAGAAGCGAGAACTGGCTCAGACGCAACACCGACCCGAGGAGATTTTTATAGGCTAAAAGTTTTAAACCTTTTTTCTCGAATGGGAGCGTGAGGTTTCGGCAGGCGTTCCTTCATCGCATCTCACGCCGGAGAGTCACAGGAAAAAGCAGTCACGATGGAAATCGACCCGTTTTCCATGCTGGAAATCTCCCTTCACGAAGATGTACCGAACGGAGAAGGTAAACGAACTGACGGATTTACATTTCAAACGGGTCAAAAACTACCAAAAAACTACGTTTATTGTTGCTCTTTGAAACCAAGACATCCATTTCCTCAGACTTGCCATTTTCCCCTCTACCTAACGTTAACATAAATATTTACAAAACATTTGATCAGTTATGCTATAAAAGTCAAACAAAGACAAAGCATAACCTTCCTCGTTTTAACATAAAAAAAAAACGCTTTGACATTTGACAAATATAACCGCAAAAATTCCGATCGCGTATTTAAAAACTCCGAACCTAAAACTCCCAAAATCGTCACAAAACATAAATAATAAACAAAGTTCTCGACGGCCCGCCTCCACGGGCTTTTTGTGTCTTTGATTTGTTTGCCGTAATTTATAAAAGTGTGTACGTCAAATTTTGGCGGCTTAGTTTAATTACGAGGTTTTGTTTTGATGACTGGTTTCATCAACTTCCGCCTGCCGACAACCGTTTCCCTCCAATTTCCCAATACATAAAATTTAACACGATAAATTTTAAATTTAATTTTTTTTTCACATCCGACATCGAAAACAATATAAAAAATCTAACAAATTTGAATACAGTATACAAGAAAAGTACAATTGTGAAAACATAACACGATCTTATCAAATTAGTTTCACTCAACGATATAGATTAGTTTATGTAAAATAACCAAAAAGTACAACTTAAGTCACAAGGCATTAACATTTACATTATATTTGTTATTGAAAAGTCAAAAAAAAAAAGAGGAAACAAATTTAATTTCACTCTACAATATAATAGTTAATCTCTACCAAAAAATACAAGAATATTGATTTACCAAGAAATTAAAAATTATTATCCTTAATACATTTGTTACTTAAAAGAAGTAGGAAAAACATACAATTGTGCAGATGTAACATCAAGTTAGATTATCAACAGGTCTAGCATAAACTTACCCTAAGAAGGGCCTGTATTTTGGAGCTGTCACATTTCAAGAAACATTATTTAAGAAATAAATAAAAACTTTGTAAGAATTTATTTGTAATTAAAAAAATGCTAAAGTACAACTTAAGTCACTAAAGGGTCTGGCATAAATCTATTCCTGAATCACTCAATGATTCAGTTAATTCAATTTTCTATACTTAAAATGTACAGTAATCAATTTGTCACCAAGCTGTAAAAATTCTATATTAAAATGATACGAAGTTTGCATTATTCTTGATATGTTTGTTATTGAAAAGCCAAAAAAAGTACAAATGTGCAGACAGAAAACAATAATAGCTACAGGTCTTGTTTAAATTTAGTTTTTTCATCAATACAGAAGTTAATCGTTAAAAAAAAAAATTATAAAGAAATTAAAAACTATTGTCCTTCATACATTTGGTACTAAAAAGAAGTAGGAAAAATACAATTGTGTAGATGTAACATCAAGTTTGATTCTCACCAGGGTCTAGCATAAACTTACCCTAAGAAGGGCCTGTGTCGTTTTGGAGCTGTCAAATTACAAGAAATATTATTTAAGAAATATATAAAAACTTAGGCCTTAGATAAAAACTATTATTAATTAAAATAATTAATACAGTCATTTATGACTATTAAACATACATAAATTAAATTTATTATTGAAAAGCCAATAAAGTACAAATGTTGAGATAGAAAACAATAATAGCTACAGGTCTTGCATAAATTCATTTCACGCACCAATACAGAAGTTAATCGTCCAATAAATAAATAAATCAAATAAAAAAATAGAAAAGCATTAATTTACAAAGAAATTAAAATCTATTATCCTTAATACATTTGTTACTTACAAGAAGTAGGAAAAAATACAATTGTGCAGATGTAACATCAAGTTAGATTCTCAACAGGTCTAGCATAAACTTACCCTAAGAAGGGCCTGCGTCATTTTGGAGCTGTCAAATTACAAGAAACGTTTTTTAAGATGTAAATAAAATTTTTGTAAGATTATATTTGTAATTAAAAAAAGGAAAAGTAAAAATAAAAAGGAACTTAACTCACCAATAGGTCTGGCATAAATCTAGTTTCGATCAACGTTATAGTTAAGCTTTTAAAAAAATCTACATTAAAACCATATGATGTTTGCATTATTCTTTGCTTTATATTTGGTATTGTAATAAAATAAAAAAATCCAAATGATCCAGCATCTATTTTCAATCATCCTATTCTGCCTATTCTTTGGAAAAATGCATCTGGCAAAAGAATGAAACTTAATTACTAAAACATACAGGGATAAAGTTTTGGAAACACAGTCCCAAATCCAACTAGACAGATTTTTAAAGTTAAAAACGATTTTAAAAACATATTTTTTAACTGATAGCCACTGATTTATTTATAAAATTCCGATGTTTTAGAAGAAGGAATACAAGTCAATGTGGATCCTTCATATATGGACGATGGAGAAAGTGATTTTGCCGTTGTTAAAGAAGAAGAGATGGATGATTCAGGCATGGCATCGTACGCAATGGAAATGGTTATTAAAAATGGGAATAAGCTAGCCGTAATCTCTCCAGAGGAGGAGGCTTATAGGAAGAAGCTTTATAAAAGTAGGCAATTTATAAATTAATAATAATTGAACCGAATCTTTGTTTGCTGTGGTATTAAATAATTGTCTTGTTTAATGATTACAGCGATGAACATCGTACTTAGGAAAAGGTTACACTGTACAGTCTGTGATGCTCACATCGGATGCTATTTAGATCTTAATTTAGAAGAAATCGAACACCCCCTCTTAAAGGTTTTATCATGTGCTAGGTGCACTTTCACCTACAAGCACATAGATTTCCCACTCACCCCGGATGGTAAAGACGTCCGGTGTAGATGGTGCACGAAACCATCTTCAGAAGACTCTCCTCTTAGGTTCTGCAAATTCTGCCCTTTTGCATTCTGTGAGGTAATGAATGTTTTATGTTCAGATCAAAGAACAAGAGTAACGAATGTTTTATATTTACAGATGTGTATATATAGAAATCTTCCACTTGATGAATTATCTAGGAATAAAGGAGTTTGGATGTGTATCGTATGCAATATGAGTGAACTCTGGCCATCGAGGGCTGTCCTTTGGGCTCTTATTGCACAAATCCAATTCAACCAATCAAGGTAATTACAATTTCATTTTATATACATATACAAAATTAATAATTAATTAATAGCTAATGACTAGCAACACTGTTCTTACATTGAAAATTAGTTTTTTTTTATCCTATAGAAAGAATTAGAATCCTAGGACTAGTTTTGTAAGCAAATAAAAAAAATGGTCATAATTAGACCCCAGAGTTTTATGCACTAAAAATCCTCAAATGTGCCATATAATTTGCACTAAAAATATTAAAATATACAGCATGAAAGTTAGAAAAATCTTCCAGGATTTCTAAATCAATGTACTTAAGTTTTGGCCAATATAAAATTTACAATTTTGTGTTTGCCATAACATTTGTTGTGTATTGTGGCGGCAGCCTTTGGGCATCATTGGCTCAAAGCCTCATGTTCTTCTAGCCAGGCTTGGAGAAGGACAGACCTGCGTTTTAAAACCTTCTTCAAATTGTAAAGAAATTTTTTGATTCAGATTAAATCTCTTGCTTTCATTTTTAAGCAATGGTGAGCTTTTTTATTTCAATTCATATTTGGATTTATGATTTTTTGAAAATCATACTAATATATACATACATAATACAATACTACATGATCATCACTTTTAATTTTTTTCCGGCCTTCAGTTTTAATTTTGGCCTTGGTTGTTTTGAGGCTTTTCCCCTTTTGGCTAAGCTTTCTGTTGGGCTAACACCTCCAGGTTTTTTGGTTTTTGGGGGACATTAAGGAAGCTTCATTATGTGTCATAATTTTTAGATTAAGTTAAAAGTGGATTCAGCATAAAAAAATATAAAATAAAGGTTATGGTGTTTTTTGCTCAAACTTACTCACTTTTCTAGATTTGATTTGGTATTAATTTTCATATGTTTTTAGGGAAGGAGTAGAAAAGTGGGAAGGTGATGTGTCTCAATGTTGTAAATCAAATAAGGGAAAAGCAGGCAAATCTATGTCCAAAATTGAAGAAGATAAAAGGACGAATGGACACGGATTTCCAGGTTTGGGGCTAGGTAATATACGAGACAGAAATATATTCGGGAGAATGCTGGGCTACCATGATAATAAAAAGACGACTGTAATAATGCCTGATCCCAATTCGAAATCGTCCGTAATGCGTTCGATACATACCGCAGAAAAGATCGAAAGGCCTAGACCGTTGCCGGCATCAAAGTATGAAACTCACTGGTTGAAGGACAAGATCGACACAATCTGCACGACGCTCCTCGCCTTGAACAAAAACTTGAAAAGGGTGTCCGAGTCACTGCCTGATGTGGACGACAAGTTCAACATTAAATCGAAAATGATTTCCATTACCTCCCTCCTCAACATTGGCTCCAATCAAATAACAATGTATACGAAGGAATTGGAAAACGAATGGAAGAAAGTTTTGGAGACAAAGTCGTACAAGATTGTTAAAAAAGGTTTGCTGAGACGAAATCCAGTCCCTTATCGAAGAACATCTGCGATCACAAAAACGTTCGAATTAAGCCCAGTTGATAGACTGTATATGGAAAAGTACAATATTAAACCGTGTTACGTAAAACTCAATCGGGTGGATAAATTTGAAGTTATAAACATTGATGACTAGGACAATACTCAGTATGAATTAATATAAAAATTGTAAATAATAAACCCTTAATTATAACAAATTCAGAAAATTTAAAATACTTATTATGCCATTAAAATTATATTTAAATTGAAATTTATTTTTAATCTCACTAGATTTAAAACAAATTTTTAAAGACATTTTTGAATGGACAGTTATGATTGTGCCTACCCACGATGTGCATCTTTTGTGTTTAACTTTTTGTGTTTATTTAATGTTTTCAACGTACAAAGGACTTATGCGCGTATATAGTTAGATAAAAGAGAACAGTGCTTTTCTCATATATCTGCTGTGTGCAATCATAACATTGATGTTTTAAAATTGGTATTTTCAAATAATTAAAAGTTAGTATAAAATTAAATAGATAAATTGTACTTTACAAGTGTATTTTAGTTTTTAAATTTAATTTTTTGAAATATTGTCGTTATATTTTTATACAAGTGGTTGTCATTTTTCTTTTAATACATCACATTTTCCTTTGCAGGCCGAATAATTTGCACAGAAAAACTGGAAAGTTTTTACAAAATTTAAACGAAGAGGTCTGAGATTATAATGTTTATTGTATTATACATTAATTCTTTTCAATTGTCAAAATTTAAATTCTTTTGAAATATTTTTGTATGGTGTTTGTTATTTTTGTAAAAACATTTTTACCTTTTTTTAAAGGCAAAACATGCAATTTAAAACAAAACCATTACTAAACTAAAATACCTTCACAATTGTTTGTGTGTAGTTTCTAAAATTTCTTTTCTAGAAGATCAAAATTTTAACAAACATATTGACAGTGTAACGTCAATATGTACTTAAAAAAAATGTTTTTGTTTGAACTTCACATTTTTGTATTAAAACAAAACTGCACGAATTGATGTCAGACAAAATTCTGTTAATTTTATTTATGATATTACAGCCTTTATCATATAATATTTAATTGTATGTAGAGATTTGTCAATCATCCACACATTTGTAATTTGGAAGTTGCAATGGACATCGGTGCTTTAATTAACCCAAAACGAACATTTGTACTTTCAATAGAAATTAGCAGATAACAATGTTAGTTGGAATTACTCTGGCTCAACTATGCATCCTTGTAAAAGTATGTTTTACTTTTTACAATACAATTTCCCATCTTGATGAAATTAATTATTTTATGACCATTCAGCTTTTTAAGGTTTTGTACTGTGATACAATGAACAACAGTACACTACAGGATCTATTTTGTTAAGCGAGTTTATCTGGTTTGATGTTTTATGAGAGCTTGACACAATCAGAATTTATAAAATTGTTTAGTGTATATTTTTTCATTTTATTAAAACACTTTTTTACCCAATTTTTTTTTTGAAAAATTCTTATATAAATAATGAAAACTGGTATGAACTAGAATACGTTTAATGTATATTTCTTAATTTTGAGAACTGTGGTTGGGTGTCAGACTCTTGTTCTTAGAGCCTGTGGTTCCTACTGACACCCCTGAAATTTCAATAAAACTCATCAATATAACAAAATACTCAGGTTGGCTAATGTAGACGGATGTCGATTGAAAAAAAAAAAAAGCTATGGTTAGCTATAAAACAGCCTGGAAAGTCCTAGTTATATCTGATTACTCAAGTTACAACTACTCTATTTGAAATATGAAATTCACATTCTGTTGTAAAAAATTTATATTAGTTAGATTTTTGAAAAACAGCTCAATTGAAACTAAAATTTACTAACACTTTCGAGAAGGAATAGAGAAATAAAACTTGCTACGTTGATGCAGTTTTAGCTTAAATACAATTCTACCGTATTCTTTCCCAGCTATTAATCTATGACTAGTCAGTAATTTCATTTTATGAGATTTCTTCTTGAGTTCTGCTTGGTGATGAACTAAATAAGAAAAATAGACATAAAAAGTTTCATAAAGTTTGGATGTACAAATGTAATTGTATCTTGGTCATTTTCCATCATTTTGGGTGTGCATATCAGCAGTTTTTCTTTGCTGCTTTTTCAACATTCTCCAAAGCTGAAACATGTCTGTTATACCAAAACAGCGAGGATAGGCAAAATCGTCGGACACATCCAACCAACATGCAACAAAAAGAACAACAGAAAAGAATTCTTAATTTATGGTTCTCTGTAAAACAGCCTGGAAAGTCCTAGTTAGATGTAGTTATTCAAGTTTCAACTACTCTATTTGAACTATGTAATACACATGCTGTTGTAAAAAATTTATATTAATTGGATTTAAAAAAAACAGCACAATTGAGTAAAATTTAACAACTCGTTCAAGAAAGAATGGAGAAATAAAATTGCTACGTTGATGCAGTTTTAGCTTAAATACAGTTTCACTGTATTCTTTCCCAGCTATTAATCTATGACTCGTTAGTAATTTTATTTTTGTGAGATTTCTTCTTGGGTTCTGCATGGTGATGAAGCTGTAGTTTGTTAGAATGACAATTTCATTTTTAACCAATTTATATTTATGGAACTTTTTATGCTTATTTCAATCATTAAAATCTATTTTTATGTAAAGAATTATATGTCAAACAGAAGATATTTAGTTTTGTAAAAAAGTATTTCAAATTCTTTAGGTGTGAATTCTTTGACTGCAATATTACAGTTTTCTCTTTGAATTTTTTTGTCTGGATTTTTTAAAATTTAATCTTTATTTTGGAAAAAAAATAGCTATATTTTATTTTGACTAGGGATGGTTAATATTTAACTCAGCCAGCAGGTCTATTTTATGCTACAGCAGTCAAGTTTGGGGAGGGGAGATGTTTGGGCAGGTAGAGGGGTTTCTGCGGTTCTTCATCAGGAGACTGTTCAGCTGCCTCAGTACACCCCTACAGCCTTCCTCTATGCTGAAACAGGTCTGCTGCCGATTTTTCTCTACATTATAAAACCACTTCGATTACATAATCAGAATTTTATCCCTATCTGATAATAGACTCCTGAAGATCCTTGCAAAGTAGATTGTAGATAAAGAAATGTATTGGTTTAAGGAAATAAAAAGGCATATCATGCAGTTTAACTTGACTTGTCCTTGGACCGGAACAACATCGGCAGAGTTGAACTGTTGAGGGATGGTTTGAGACTAGTTAGACGGTCCATTTGTTACAATATAAAGAGACAACATTACACAGTATGGCCAATTCAGAAAGTTTCCCACTCCATAGAGAGCTTCTATTCAAATCCCCAAATTATCTTGCTATGCTTTGATAGCGGTGGATAATTAAGTGCCGGGGGATCTGTTTAACTTAAATCACAAACACTTCAAACAGCAGGACATTAACTGTGAACTTTGTAGTGGTACAGTGCGGGAGGATTTGTTCCATTTCGTGGCAACTTGCCCAGCACTGGCTGCTGTCAGGAAACAATATTTTCGTAGTGAAGCTCTGTCTAGTGAGATCTTGCTAGAATATATTAATGGCAAGGATTGGACTGTATTGGTTATTATTCTCTTAGAGTCAGGGTCAGAGGATCTGGTGAGGGTGGAAGCGGCTTATTTTGGTGGATTCCTCTGAATAGGTGAAATGCTCATCCTCAACTTAAATATTGTATCGTAAACATTTATTATTTGTTTTTACTATTATCTCTTGTAGTATAAAATGTACTTCATTATTATTTACTTTTACTATTTCCATTTATTTTTATTTTATTGATTGAGTTATATGCATAAATATGTATGATGTATATATTTGCAATTATATTTCAACTATTATTATTCAATTATGTTCTATTATTATATTACTGAAATTTTTGAAGAAAGTATATATTCTTTTTGTAAATACTAATTATAATCACTTGCAAATACTCAGAAAAGAGATTTTAATTAAATAATGTTTATGTGCTAGACTAACTCAGGCGGTTTTAAACCATGAGGGACGTCTTTCTTGTTTTGTAAGATATATTGCCGAATTGTAAACTTTGTATATATATTAAAGAATAAAGACATAGTAGTAGTATATTTTGTTTTGTATCTCTGACACCTAGTTGAGTCAATAACGCAACGGTCGTCCACCCGTACGTTGTTGGAGGTTATCAATCAGCTGGTCGTTAGTTCGCCAAGTTTTCACTACGGTTTTTGCTGTTTCGTCTTGAAATAGCAATTAGCAAGTGACTAACGTCATGTAGTTCATCGTGCTATGTTCGTAAGCAGGACTGTCCTCAGAAGGGGAAGGCTTCCGATAAATCCTTCCAGGTCGAAGTGTGACGATCCCGGGAACCCCGTTGATTGCCAAGAAGTCGAAATTCCTCCAGAGCCGACCAACTGCTGTATGTCCGGTTGTAACAACTGCGTATGGATCGAGTACGCGAAAGAACTACAAAAGCTCTTTAGCAACAGGGACGAGAAGGCGAAGGAGGTGATCATGTCCAAAGTGCAGGATCCGAACATGGCGGCTTTTTTAAAATTAGAATTGAAGAATTTGAGCAAAGATTAAAGCTCCCTACGTCTAGATATAATGCCATTATATGTATAAATTGTATTATATGTATTATTGTACATTGAATCAAATAAAACCAATTTTACGTGAAGCTTACAGGTTCATTTAGAATTTTCTTCTTCCCTTTTTGGCCTATGGCCAAATAAATTTGGCAAAGTTAAGTGTTTCGCTCAAAACAACGCTTAAAAACAACGAAAAAATTATTTTGAGATGTATATTACATAAATACTGGCATAGTTTTTGGTAATTACAATAAAAACTTGTGTTAGTTAAGTGAGTTAATGTGTTACGTTTATGTGTCTGTTTTTAAGTAGTACTTTGAGTTCTTGTTTGTGCTTCAATATTCCGCTTGAGTTCCAGAGCACAACTGAGTGGATTGGAGGGTACACGGTTCATCGGGGTAGCTTGGGGAGTTCAGTTACAGGGGTAGTAAGAAGAGTGATGAAGGTAGTGCTCAATGATTTAAAATCATTAAGGAAAGAAGCAAGATGGGAAATGATGTCTGTTGATAGGACTGGGAGGTAGTTGGCATGTAGTTGAGTGCAGTGCTAGCTGGAATTGCAGGTCGATGTGGTTCCCCAGATAGGTGGTGATGTCGTTGGGGCAGGGATGAAAGCTTTTCTGTTTTCCCAATGCTCCTGAAGATCCGGTG